AATTTCCCCAGCAACCAAATAGGTTTGGCCTGTAGCCCTTATTTTAAACGCATATAACAGATGGATCATGGGGGAGTGGCTGCTCTATATAGCTTTTTTTATTTCATTGACTAAAATCACGGCAAGCGGGTGCATTATAAGCTAATTTTATTGATTGACTCTTGAAAAGGGCAGAACTCTAATTTTGTCTCTCACTCATATAATATTTTTTGTTTTAGTCCCTCAAAGATATCTCATCTCTTGATTTGACCGTTTATAAAATTATTTCCTCAATTTACCCGCTCAGAGATTTTTTTTTTTTTGGAAAAGATAACGCAGTGCCCAATGTTCTGAGACTGCAGCTAATTTAAAAATATAATTTCGTTGTGCTTGTCTGTGACCGCAGTTAGGATCAATAAAATTTTTTTTTTAGTAGTGAAAGAATATTGTTGATAATATCTTATTTGTGAGGTTAAATGAAAAGTATTCAGGTGGGCGAAACAAAATTGAGAAAGAAATTCATGAGGGACCAAATCTCAAAGCTTCCTATTATTGTGCGACAACATTGAAAAGCAAGTCTTGAAAAGAGTAAATATGCAAAAATACCGTTCTGGTACTCGTGAATAAAATTGCCAATCAGTTTCGTACCATTATAGCATTGATATTCAAGAGTCTTCGTCTCATCTTCCCAGTTCTTCCATTTGTTCATCTGAACCCAGTGAAGCAATCGAAGAGTTAAAGACAAGAAGAAAGGAGAAGTAATTGTTGGATGTGATTTCCTTAAGTTGAACGCTGTAAGTACCTTAGTTCTGCCCAAAGCGAGCGTGATAATGCACTGAAGGACATGAAAAATTGCGAGCACAAAGATGAATATATGGAGCTGATGGATGCCGTAAGCAGAAACAAAAGCCACTTTACCCTGCAAATACAAAACATGGGAGTTAGGAGGGACCACTTGATTTGATTAGCATGGTTAAGGATGTCATCAGCTTAATTAATGAATCTCTCTTGCTTTCACATGAAGGTGATGGATGAGCTTGCCTTGTCTGCGCATTTGTCGTATCCTTTGGTGGCGAGAACACGTCGAGGTGAGGGGTCCAGAAACTGGAGAAGTTTGCGAGAATTGTGGTCGTCAGAGTCCTCAGGATCAGATTGGGCTTGAGTTTGTGTTTTTGGAACAGCACAAGGATGCCAAGAGGCGGCAACTTTTTCTGATATGCAGATATTGGAAATAGGATCCTGAAACACCGTGAGCAGCAGCGATATGAAGCCCAGCAGCATGAGCTCTGTAGCAAGTCCAAACGCAAGAAAGTTGTTACGTCAAATTAAAGAGGTTATCACCAAAAAAAAAATAATTAAAGAGGTTGGAAAAACCAACAAAGCCAGTCACAAGAAGGATAAGTACCTCCTTTAACCTTTTCGAGTGCTTCATACAGAGCCCTTTTGTGCTTCTTCTTGAACCACTGTATAATTTCAAGAAGCAGGAAGTTATCAGAACGGTGCACCACAATTATTGTAATAGTAAGGTCATGCCAAAAAATTGTGCGTCCTGTGCAAATAAATTGCTCTCAACTCCATATAAGCAGGAATCAGTTTACGCAGTGCCAGAAAAGAAACAAAAACGCATACATGTCCAACAACATGAAGAAGGTGTTCAATGGCGATGGAAATAGCGAGCAAGACGAAGCACACGACAGCAACGGCCCAGGTCGGGGTATCCTCCAAGGTTCGCTCTTTAGCTTGAGCCATCCCGCGAGCTGCGCTGGGTCTGCCGATCTCTGCAAGGCACGGGAGGAGAAATGGGGAGGGAGGGGAAAATTATGCAGGGAGTGACAAGTCAGCGTGGGACGACGAGAATAGGTTCCTGTGTGGGGTGGGTTCTGCTTATTTGCACCGGAAGAGGTTTAAATACGGGAGCGAGGGAGGAAAAGGGAGCGCGTTAGTGTGTATTGCTCAGAGGAATAAGGCTTTGACATTTTCAAACCAATGATTGGTCAAACATTGACCAGAGCGAATAAGAAGATGAGTAAGGGGCTCCTCTCTGCTCTGCCATCCATGCTAAACTCTTTTGTTGTTGTTGTTGTGTTTTTTTTTTTTCAAATTTATTGATTAAATCCATTAAAAAGGAAAACAACCATCAATATTCTAGTGAAATCACTGAAGAGGTTCATGGTATCATTCATATAAACGCGTGACATCAGCCGTTTCTTTTGCCTGTTCCAAGTTAGTTATGGGATGAACTTTCATTATTTAAAGAAGCTTGTATGCATATTAAATGTTACTTTTCGGAGAGGAAGGCCCAATTGAATGGGAGCAGAAAAGTTTGAAAGTAAACTGGGTTTACTAAAAATGAATAGATTGGGGGAAGCTGCAGGATGAAGCAGGAGAGACGGGTTTGGCCTAGGCAGAGGCAAGTGGATTAAAAAAAGAGGAGGAGAAATGAAGGGATTCTGGCATTGGGTCCTTGATGGGCCCCACTGCTTGTTTAAGACTCTCAAGTTGCAAAAGGGTGGTACGTTGTGATCGGAAATATGAAGTGATAAACGAATGAACATCATCGCTGGTGGGGTCAGTGAGACGGATAAAATTGGCATTCCGTTTATGGAAGGAGCATCGGTCAAAGGCATTGAATTTGGAGGGATGAGCAGGCACCGAGATTACGTTGATAAGTATCCCATTCAACAAATGCTGTTACCCCAATCTCCTGTGCTTCTGGATTTGGATTTGAAATCTTTCAATGTGTAATTTCTTAAACGACACCCTTATTCTTTTAAAACTAAAACAAAATTGAATGATCGCCTTTATTTTAAAATCTGCATATGTTAAATAGAAAATAATAAAAACATATAAAATAAATCAAATATGAACAAACAGTGGATTCTTTGCCCCCTGCTTCCGTCTTGAAGATAATAAAGAACCCAAAAAAAAAAAAAAAACACTTTTGCGGCGCATCAGACGACTGACTCATGCTATCCCATTTTAATTTCATTACAAAATGAGTAATTCAAGAGTGAATAAAACTAATTGTATTTGTAAATAAAATGATAGATGGCTGCGTGGAGGTGAGTGCATTGACGAAATCAGCTGGCGGGTTGAGGTCTTTTGATAATTAGGCATTTTTGTGTTTTAAAATAGACGACGTGGCGGGATCGTCATTTAGGGCCTGTTTGGTTTGAGGGGAGGGGAGGGGAGGGGAGGGGAGGGGAAGTTTCATCCTCACCTTGTTTGGTTTGATTAAAAATGAGGGGAGGGGAGGGTATTTAATGATTCCTTGTTTGGTTTAAGGAGGGGAGGGGAGGGATAGTAATAATCAATTTACCATTTTACCCTTACATATTAGTTTATGTTTTTTTATTGATATATTATATAAATTAATTTACATCTTAATTTAAATCATATAATTTAATAAAAATTCAGTCTTATCATGTTAATATGTGTATTAAAAAATTGGTATAGTAATTTTTTATTCTAATTAATATAATAATATATTTAAAATAATCAAATTAACAAATTTTATATGCTCTAAGAAAAATGAAATTTTATTTTCTTTAAGCTATCTTTTTTTTCCAGCTTTAAAATATATTTAATAAATAATATATTTATAAAAAATTAATTTTATAATATTATAATTTTTTATTTAAATAATTTTTTATTTTTAAATAATTTTTATAATATATTTTTAATTATAATAATGTATATATTTTTTATTTTTTTACTTAGGATAATATATTTTTTATTTGAAATAAATATTATAATAATATATTTTATGGGTAGAAGTGAAATATTAAAAAAACTACAAGGGCATAATGGTCCAAAATTTTGACTCCCCTCCAAAAACCCCCAATTTGGAGGGGAGCCAAAATGGGGGAGGGGACATTTTAGCTCCCCTCCCCTTCAAAATTTTTAACCAAATGAGGGGAGGGGTTCATTTTCCTTCCTCTCCCCTCCCCTCCCCTCCAACCAAACACACCCTTAAATGCCCGTCTCTATCACAAACACAAAAATCTCTGCCGCCCGAAATTTATTTCATCAACAACAACAACAATAATAATAATAATAATAATTCGGATAATACTACAGACGCCGGATAACGAAAAGTCCACTCTCCCCCAATCCCTGACAATGACATGACAGCCATCCAAAATTAGTTGTCCGCTGCCGCCAAAAAGGAGAGAGCTGCGTAAACGATGAAAGGGTGGAGACTTTTGTGAGGGCTGAAGAGTGTCGCCATTTGACTCTGCATCCCAGTCTCTCAACTTGGTTTCCTCTCACAACCTTCCTATGAACCGTCCAAATTGAATGCGCCACCCCCTCCCTCTCTCTATCACTCGTCCTTTCTCGGAATCAATACACCTTTTGTCTTCGCACCTCATCATCCATTCTCGTTTCGGAATCATTTCTCTTCATTATCCCTCCGCTTTCTTGGATATTATGAGTTACGACTCTTCTTTTCAACAAATACTAATCAATTCAATAGTTCCGTCTTTCAAATCACACCGCCCAATCATTTTTTTGCAACTCATCCAAATATATACCATCAGCGAAGAAAGTTGAATTGATAGCCGCTTGCATTTGAACAGATATAGAGGAGGCCACAAAGAATTACCCAAGCAAATCATCAAACATGGACTCTTGAAAAATATATGACATAATAACATGTGAATCACACAGCCGTCTTCATTTAGAAATTAATTAATTATACATACACATGATGTATACAGAAGTCGATTTCCAATGGTGTCTAACCATCGGATCATCTTGATCAAAGTTCACTTGCATGTTACACTCCATGTCAACATGTGATCTTAGGTGCTTTGTAGGTATTACGAGACTATCTACAGTATGTAGCTTTACACGCCGGTTTATTGACAAATAAATCAATAAAATGCTAATTTCGACAGCGTCCATTCAAACTTTCTCCAGGTGACAACTACTAGTCTATTCCGTTAACTAACAGTACACGTTTTTTCATTACACTCTCATCTTTAAGGAGAAAAAAAGTATCATGTATTCATTGATGAGAGCAGTATTATGCCGGACGTTCGTTGCATAGAATGGCCCACACATTTCATATAATGATTAATAGAAACCTTATAAAGAATAAAATTCACATGAATATTCTACATATTTCAAACATTGAGGAAAGAGCTTGGTCTAATTTTTGTAGGCAGCTGAGAGGCAAGAGGGAACTCATGAGGAATGCATTCCTTATCGCGTGTCTTTCAGCCCCGTCGTATGTAAATGAATGATGGGTGTTATTTCGTTTGGGAGTACTATGAATGGTTGTGTATGCTTCCTGTGTTATTCAGCTAGGCATGGACTTGTTCTCCAAGAATGACCTGAAAAGAATAAATGCTTGGCGAGGCCTGTGAAGAGGAACCTCATGCCCTGCTCCCGTGACTGTAACCAACGTAAGGCCTTTATAAACTTGGCTCCAACCTCCAACCTTCCACGCACAACAAATAAATGCACTAAGCAGAAATGCAACATAACAGAAAAGCAATACAGTTACTGAATTCTTCTATATACATACACCTAGTTGTTAGTTGTTACTGTTAATCCCACAATCTGTTACTCATTCCGTCTGCTTCAGTTATTCTAGAACACCGATCAGCCCAAAGAACCGTTCAAAACCAAGTTGAACCCATCAAGAATTAACCACATTAGTAAAAAAACAAACCGCTCAAAACCAGTTTAAACTGGCTTTTTCATTTTTAAATTTAGAAATTCTGAAGGCTCATTTTTTACCCGTTTGACCATTTGAGACATATGGCCACTTATTCTTCTGCTAAAATTACAAAATGATTCCTAGTTCACTCAGGGTACGGTTTCAGAAAGCTTGCTCTAAGCCTATGAAGCATCATAAAAGAAAAACCATGAAGCATCTATACTTAAAATTGGAGCTCCAGCATTTGAAACTGCACATTGGTGATATACACACATATATTTATATTATATTTTCTCGTGTCAGTTTCCATATCATGTTGTGTTAGTAGTTACAACTAACCTTGCCATTATCATTCCAAGGATACCAGTTGACGATGGTAGCCAACTTTAAGGCATCAATAGAATATCGAGTTGCAGTTACTGGAACCACAGCATCTGTATCTCCACTGCGAAAATGGTAAATGCAGAGCCACGATCAGAAACAGCGCAAAGCCAATAAATCATAGAAAATTATTAACAACGCTCACTTTTCATTCAGAAAAACCAAATATCAAGCAGTAAGACAAGACGAAGCTAAACATTCCACATAAACATCAATTTCATGGACAATATAGGTCAGATAAGTTCCCAATATGTTTTATAGGCAAGGGTGTTCCAGAACCCATTACTGTTTTCAACATGCCTCTTAAACAGATCAATATAATTTATCCACCTCAAAGCCGAAGCATCCTTTTTCGCTGAGCTACAATTTGTCATTTGAAATGACACAGAAACTCGGTAATGCGAAGACTGAACCAGCAAGCCTAGAAATATGAAATTACTTGGGAATAAAATTTAAGATAATTGTATTGCTTTCTTTTATAAAATTGTAATTTCAGACCAGAGCTTTGTAACTGAGGAATCAGGGATTGGATGTCGGTCATTTGAGAATTTACGCTCTAGTTGTTTGGCCCCAGAATATCTTACTAACTAGATTAGGAATCATTCTCTCTCCTGGATTGTTTAGTTGAGCCCAAGCTTAATATGCTTTTCTAAGTAGAATCAAAGGAGTTTGGCTTTTTGAATCAACTATGTAATAATCATTATTTTAGGGATGTCAGTTAGGTTATTGGATGTGATCAATCTGAATGATATGTATATATAGTTTCCCTATTGGGTAGATCATAGAATAGCACAACAGATCCTCCACACAAAGCTTTTTCATTTTTCTTTTTAGCCTAGAGGCGGGTTGACTGAAAAATCCCACACTTTAGCTCATGGGTTTCCAGATACTATTAGGATATTAAATTTGTCCAACATAACTAAAACAAGCAACTCAAAAGGAACATTCAAGACCCAAGGGGTGTTCACTGAAGTCTTAATTTTGCAGTGACTTGATGGGTTTATTGAGTTTTAACTTTTGCAAGATGAAACCTAAGTACTATCTGTGTGGCGTCAAGTCAAAGTTCCAAACATAAATTTCAAAGCATGGCATAATAGATGAATTATTAGGCATGGATGGAAACCATGGAAATTCATTTTTGTCTTCCTTTCAGATTTGGAGGGGGTGAAGACAGCTAAAGATCTACAACATCTACTTATACAACACCTGAATGTTCTTAGTGGAGTTTGTCAGCAATCTATACACAAAAATAATTCCTATTAAGTTTAGACAGCAGCAAATCCGATTATAACAACCAGAGCAATCATGTAATTGAAATATTTCAGCTTCACAGGTACGAGCAGGGAGAAGAAAAGTAGGGTCAGAGGCAGTGAGCAAACTCACCTGTACACCCATATCCTGAGACCAGCATGAATGAGTTCATGATATATAGGAAGCATAGATAGTGGAGAATCCGCCCAATAATTCCCAACAATGTCGCTGTTAAGTGAAACTTTTAACACTGTGATAGAAATAACTCCCAAAAGAACAGATCATATATTGCTTTAAAAGCATATACCTGCACGACTTCCACGAATAACTAATCCCTGTTGTATTGGCGTGCAGTGCTTTCTGAACTTCTGGACGATTGAAGTATAAGTCTGCAAACCTTTCTGTGCAGGGATCGTACGCTCGAGACATCCATGGCTGAGCTTGGAAGTCACAGGTTTAAGAAACACATAAAATCAGCCAAATATCCTGACAAGGGGTGACCAAAATGTATCTAGTAACAAAATTGACCAAAGAATATTAACCACAAGGGATGAATGTTTGTATAGCCACAATAAATGGTCATTTGCAATATAATTTGCATAAATTCTCTTTGGTTTGAAATGACCCTAAAATAGAAATTAAGAAACATTAACAAATTCATTTAACAGGCTTTGACTGCTGAAACGTAAAACAAATCAGCTAAGTCAGAGTTATTCAGAAATCACATCCTGCGAAAGATCTCTTCTTGCAGTTTTTTTTCCCCCCTCCTGCTAATTAAAATTTTATAGTGATGAGTATATCTGAGGCAACCAAAATAGTGAGTCCACAAGTCATCTCTTATATTAAACTAAGTGAAATATTGATAGAAAGAGACAGGCAAACAAAGAAAAGGCAACTTGAAGACAAAAGGATGAAGTGGCTGCTTTATCAATGCTTGAATCAACTTCTTAATCAGTTAAGGCAAAATGACAATATAATTGAAAATAAACTTGAGTAAATGTGCTTTTTCTAAAGATTAGCAAACAAAAAGTTATGTTTTCCTGTTTGCATCTGGATGGGACACCAATACAACGTATAGTTTAGGAAACCAATATGCCATTATTTAATCAAGAATGTTAGGGAAGTTCTCCCAGCTTTAGCCTCTTCCAAATACTATCAACACCTTTGAGAATTCCGCAAACTAAAACAGATAGCTCAATGCTCTATAGTAGTTGCCCATTAGTTTTTAGTTTCAAAGCTTCCACTATTTCCTGCAGAGGGAAACTATTTTAGCAACCAAAATTCAGGATGGCGGAAGCATCATTGATAGAGATTTCTCAAGCAGTAAGACAGGAATCATACACAGTTTATGATTCCATTTTTTTTCATGTAATATACGCCATTATGATCTAGATCTACCCATGTATCTAAAACCTTGCATGTAAATGTCCTTTGCATGCCTATACATAAATCAAACGGATTGATAAAAAGGCAGGGCATACGTAGCGACCCCTCAAGCCATGTCTAAGTGATGCTGTGTTATTGCATGGCCGTGTATAGATGCTATATGGATCAATGTTCCCCTGTTCCACAACTGCCCCTCTGAGGGCCTGCATGCATTGCAATGTTGGATGCAGGGAGGACCCAGAAGTACAGGTAATTCGCAGCATCCTATAGGTGGAATCTGAAATCAAGCCATGAGTCCACCAGTACTCAAATGTACCAATGTAATCATGGTAATCATCAGTAACAGCATTTCCAACCTGATAGAGATCAGTGAAAGATGGCAATCATTAGATGGTTATTGAATAGCATAAAGGCCTCTCAATGAGCATAAAAGATTCTCTTTTATCCCCTAAATAAAGATTTGTCGTTGTCATGTGGATCTTACAAACTCACCATAAATCCCTTAAAATTAATAACCGGATTCTTGATACCCTTGTTTTGCTGGTAAATAATCCGAGCTAACTGAGGAACATAGTGACCTGAAACGGATTTTTAAAAATCGGATCATCATCATCTTGACACAAAAGAATTGAATGATAAATTTGTGAACAAGTACCAGCATAACTCTCTCCAGCAATGTAGAATTCTCTATGTCTATACTGCGGAAATCTTTTAAACCAATTAACAAGAAATGTATATGCATCTTCAGCTGCGAAGTCACGAAACCCAGATCCCAAAATTTCATGCTCGTGAGCAATTATATCTCAAAGCAGATAGAACATAATTGTAACAAGTGCTACGCCAAAACAATGTCAAAACAGCATATTTACCTGTTCTGCGATCTCCCATTGTAAACAGATCCGACGTTTTGTTCGTATATGAAAAGCCAACACCAGCGGGAGAATCAAGGAACAGTAAATTTGCCACTGCAATACCCAAAAATTCAGAAGACACGAAGATGCGTTACAGGGGAAAAAATAGTGAGAATGGGAAACTGCTGGTGCTGCGAACATTACTGACGTTTGTTCCAAGCGTAAGGATTCAAGTACAGTGACTTCCCATCAGGCCTAATGCGAAAAGGTCCTATCTCTTCAGAGGACCCATAAGCAACAGAGGAGCATCCAGGACCGCCGTTAAGCCATAACACTAATGGCCTTGACTTGGGTCCACGACTTGGTGGTGCTTCAGTCAACCAATAAAACAATGCCCTCCCTGACTCCTTATTCACTGTCACATAGCCCGAGTACTGAGCAAAACCCACATTCTTTGGTTGTCCTGGCAAATCGGTGATCCTGTCTCTCTTTTGATCTCCAAGAGGAGAAGCCAGACAAATTCCCAAAAAGATGAACAAATGCAAACATAAATAGAGCTGAGAAGGAAAACCCATGATCTATAAATCTGAAAGTTGCAAAAGGTAAGGAAAACCCAGAATAAGAGACCAAAAAAATTCTGGGTTTTCTAGCCTTCTTACTGCCAGCTTACTCCAAGACCATAAAAGAAGGCAGAGAACAGAAGTGAAGAATAGCAATAGCGATGATGCAGTTTATGGAAGAAGCACAGATCCCAACAACAAAAACAATCTGGACTGTAATGCCAGAGATTAAAAGAGTGCAGGAACCCAAAGCAAAGTGAGACAGTGAGAGAGATTTGACAAAACTAAAAACCAAGAGGAGAGTACGAGAGAGCAAAGAAAGGGACAGAGAATGAGAGTGTGGGACACCGAGGAAAGGTGAAAGGGATTGGAATTTACAAGGGGCAGTCGTGATTCCCATTCATAATGATTATAATTAGTAGAAATGAGTAGTAACAATTGAAGTCCAGGCATTTATATGCATCTCCTTGACGGCCGGGTTGTAATAATTATCAATACTCAAAAGCTTGCTTTGAATATTCCTGTCACTTGCGTGTGTTTTGTTTCTCTTCCATATGCGTCTATCACGCAACTTGATTGAGCAGTTGGCTGGCGCACATGGGACTGTAGAAGTACATGCATTCTTTCTATTTTAAGCGCCATTTTTGTTCATTCTTTCATGGGTTTACGGACCAAATTTTGATTATTTGATTAATTTACAGTAAATTATTACTTTTGATCATTAAACTGATTGGTTATAAAAGGAAACTTCTCAAAATGGAGGGAAGCTCTACATTGCTTCGTAATGTTCAATCTTCCAGACTTTACTAACAATGGAAGAAAGCAGTATTTAAGAAATATGTAAATTTAAGAAGCTGGTCAACTTCTTTCATCATTCCACAAACATATCCTTGTTCGATCGGTTATTTTATAAGCAACAGATTATTTTAATGAGTGAGGATATTTGAAATCGCCTTTGATTGAAAATGTGGTAAGTATACAGATGGGAAAGTCAGCAATTTTGTTGACGTGTTAATCAGCCATTTGGTGAAAAGTACATCGTGATCAGTGATGACTTTCATCAAATACTTCCAGTTATACCGAAAGGTACGAAGGCAAGTATGGTTAACGCGTGCATAAGTTCGTCATATTTGTTGGATCATTGCTTCATATTTCAATTGATTAAGAACCCGAGGCTATCTATATATGCCTCCTTTTTGAATGATGATACACGAATGCATATTTTTTCTCAAGGGTTGCTGAATGTTGGAGATGGCAAGTTGGGCATGCTGCACGATAGTACTGCAAAGATTGAAATTCTTCAAGATCTGCTAATACATAGGTGTGCAGATCCAAGTGCTTCTATGACAGAGTCAACATATCCTGATTTGCATCTTAATTTTTGAATGATAAGGCAGTCGTGGCACCAACTATTGAGTGTGTTAATCAGGTGAATGAGTATATGTGCTCTTTGCTGCCTGGTGAGTCAATTGAATACTTTAGTTGTAATACTGTTTGCAAGTCATCTCAAGATGGCAATGGATTTGAGGGCGAATACAATTAATAGTTCTGGATGGCCATTGCACAAGTTATGTTTGAAGGTTAATGCACATGTCATGTTGCTAAGAAACTTTGACCAAGGACTAGGCTCTATATTAGTTACCTTAGAAAATCTGTCATTGAGGCCATAACATTGAATGAATTGAAGCCTAATAATAAGGTTTTAATTCATGGGATGGACATAAATCTTTCTGACAGTCAGTTGCCATTGCAGATGAAAAGAAGATAATTCTCCATGTCTCTTTCATTTGCGATGACTGTAAATAAAAATCAGGGATAATCATTACGTTGTGAGGGATTGTACTTGTGTAAGCCAGTTTTTACCCATGAGTAATTATACGTTGCTCTTTCGAAGGTGAGAAGCAGAGATAAATTGAAGATTATGTTACCTAATTGTGAGTCAGTAAAGTCATCTCAAACCATAAATATTATGTATAGGAAGGTTTTTCAAAATTTGTAAGGAGGTATATGATTATATGATTTTTTACAGTGTAACGTATTTGTACGGGACTTATGTGTGAAATCTATCATTCATGGTTAGATACATGGTTTGGTACACCACATTAAAGATGGTGCTGCGCCGGGATTTCTTGCCAGCTGCAGAGAAAAAAGTAGAATCATGCATGGATGTGTGCTGATGACATTAATTTTTATTTGTTTTGAAAGTCCGCATTGGGACGTGTTTGGCGGAAAGAATATGGAAATAGGGAAAGCAAAAAGAGCTCCTCTGGCATGCTAAAATGGAAGCACAGTCTCGTCATATATCATCTACGTTGCTACTGCGCGGATAGGGCCATGCTAAATACTTCCATTGTCTTGCCTTGAAAGGTTAAAAAGCGAAAGTAGGAATGATAGGAGATGATGGCATGATGGAAGAAATTGGGTTAATGATAAGTAGAATTATGAGTTTGCCAACTTGGTTGTTGTCTTTCTTGGATTCATTCATTATCCTTTTATCTTTCTCCTGCATGTCCGGTGTCAGTCCGCAAAAGACAACTCCTGAGCCTGTACTTGTCTATCGCTCGCTGCACCAACATCTATCATCTATCGTTGAGCTCGTTTATGACCTGCACTAGTTATTATTATTAGTTACTCCGCCACTCTAGACAAACCTTCTGTTACCAAAATAAAACTAACACTGCTTCTGGATCTAGACTTGTGCTCTTCAATATACAGCTTAGTTGTAATTTAGAGGTGATTCTAAATATAATATCTTAATTCGTTTTATTTTTTACATTTATTATTTTTATAAACTAATTTACCTAATTTATATATGGTATATAATCTTAATTTACTTAAAAAATTGAAAAGGGGGTAAAAGACTTTTGATTAATTTTTAGGTTAAGATGCATTTAGTACTTCAAAATTTTTTTCAGGTGTGCGCAGCACTTAAAAATATTTTCTTGGTGGATCCAGTATTGATGCAAAAAAAAAAAATACTTCAAGGTATTATTAGATGCACCTAAAAAATACTTTAGGATGCTGAATATTGTACAAAATATTTCAAGATATTGGATGTATCTTAACCCTTAATTTTTCTTACTCTTTTATTCTATATCTTCTTCTTATCAAAATTTTATAATCGTATTTATCTAATTTTTTTTAAGTCGAGCTCATTAAAAAAAAAATTTCTCCTCCTTTTCATTTACCTCACGCCAAATGTATAGGGTTGAACTCTAACACCCCGCTCGGCAAGACTATCCATGAATAAGTGAATACATACAACAGGGAGGTGTTCACAGAATACTCATATGGGGGTGGGAGGACCCATATATTACTCTCCCTTGTCTCTATTTGTCGTGTTAAATCTACACTATCTACCTCTTATAACCGAAGGCAGTAGTTATATCTTGAGATTTAGAACATGATAGTGTATATGAGTAAATAAAACGGATGAACTATATAGTTTTGCTAGTGTATGTTGCCAAGGCATCCACCGACACCCTATTAATTTCTACAACGTAACAGCAACCACCCGCCTCAACCTAATTAATGACGGCACATGCGGAGATTGTTGTGTTGGAATAATTTTAATATTATTATGAGTCGATTAGCATTAAACCATATGCATTACATTAATCACCGCAATTGCAGCTATTTGGAATTTCACTGAATTCGAATATTGAGTCCAATGTCATAATAAAGTACTCCCTCCACCTCTTTATTATAAAATCTTTTTAACTAAATTGTGCTGTTTAAGAAAACAGTTAATATTGGTTAAAAGTAATACTCCTCCGGTCCTAATTATAAGACCCAATTGACTTATTTGAGGAGATTAAGGAAGTAAGTTAAGTTGGTTATTTATAATAAATAAGTGTTGTCATTCCTAAAATATCCTTGCTAATTAAGTATATTGGCTAAAACTATCATTATTAGAAAGATTATCTTAGAAAAAAATGCATAAATATAAGAGAGAAAATGGATTGGGTCTTATAATTAGGACCAAATAAAAAGTCAAATTGGGTCTTATAATAAGGACCGGAGGAGTAATATATAGTAGATACAATTTTTTTTTTCAAATATACCCTTATATATAAATGGGTAAATGTGAGAGAGTAATAGTGAGATAAATGAAGAAAGAAAACATATTAAATGTATTAAATTAGGAGTAAAATAGGTAATAATGTATTAAATGTTTAGACAAACTCAAAGAGGATTTTATAAAAAGAGATAGACCCATTTAAAAAATTGGATCTTATAATAAGAGATAGAGGGAGTATAGGGTTAAAGTGCATTCAGCACTTCAAAATATTTCTCGAATGTATCTAACACTTTAAAGTATTTTATGGTGCATTCAGTACCTTAAAATATTTTTTTAGGCGCGTCCAGCATTGCGAAATATTTTTTAATATATTCAGCACCTCAAAATATTTTTTTAAGACGTGTCTAGTACCCAAAAATATTATTTGGTGTATCCAATGTAAAGACAAAAAAAAAAAAAAACATTAGAATGTTGAACGCAGGTACTGTCTTGACCTAAAGTATAAACCATGCGATTAAAGCGTAGTTTTGACTGCCCAGGAGCCCTTTGGGAATAACCCTGCTGAAGATGATGGAGAGCAATGCCCGCTTGGGTTTGGGACAATGTTACGAATAGCGGCAGATTGGGCCCTCAACTCCTCATCATAGGTCTTGCAAGGCAGCGTCTGGGGATTTTGGGTTCTGCCATGCGGGTGCAATGCACGACAGAGCCCAAAACACCGTTTGGCACAAAAGCGAAACATTAGCTCCAGCTCTGGGGCATTCCGAGAATTGAACTCGGGACCTCTCGCACCCTAAGCGAGAATCATACCACTAGACCAAATGCCCGTTTTGATGGGCTTGCTTCTAGAAATTTTATATACACAAGATAAATGAAACTAAATCCCTCCTCCCCATTAAGCAGAAATGGGCCTTTCTGCGACGAGGTTTCATTCGGCATCGGCAGCGTGCGGCAATGGCAAGAGCGGCTCTCCTCCAGTTGCTCCGATCGCAGGCGACGCGCTCCACTTCCAGTTTCCTCCCTTCAGGTTTCTCTCTTCGCCCTCTCCCTTACCGGTCCATTTGTGTGTTTTGTGAATGACCTACAACATAATGTAAATTTGCGTTCCCATTTTCATCAGTGTTATGGGGAATGGGAATATGCTTAAACGTTTGAAATCCCTAGTTTTCTGCCTGGAAAAGATACGGACATCGCTCTGTATCGCCGTTTTCGAGTTCTCTTTATGGACTCTTATTCTCTAAGACAGATAAGAGCAAGTTTACAAACTAACCTAAGGCGGCTTAAACTTAGTCCTTCTGGTTAAATACTGGGAAATTCAGCATTTACTAGTGAACTGCATTGAATACCCGCCACGATGGATTTTCTTATTAGTCTAGATAAGCATTATAATCTAGCCTCCATAACATACTGCTTGAATTTGTGATGAAAGAAGCTCTATAGCTAGGTACGAGATTTTGATGGTAGCGACAGATAGCAATTGTTCCAACCGCTGGTAAAACCTTATAATGAAAATTGTAATGCGAGAGTTTTAGATTATAGAGCTTCTTTTACTTTGGGTCTGACGGAGTTCAATGTGCATTAGGAGTTAAATTTATAATCCGCTATTTTCACTGATTCGTCTGAAACAATGTGCCGAGCATCATGTTCTTCCACTGGGGAATATAATTTTTAATCATTCTTGGTAATTGACGTGAAGACGGAACTCTACCAAGGCCTACTAATTCTAGTTATGGATTCCGCAGCACAAAAAGGCGAAAAAAAAAAAAAATTGCCAGATTGTATGTGGCAACTACTTTCGGAAAATCCAGGTTTGAAACCCATGTGGTTGTCTTTTGGTCACCAAATAATATTGCTAGATTTCTCCTTTGCTGCGGAATTTGTTCTGAGGTATGTTATGTGTGTAATATGCCACAGATTTACATCTAAAGTTTAGTACCTCAGTTATTCGAAGATGTCTAATCTATATAAGTAAAAAAATGATAGGTTCTGTCAACTCTTTCTTATTTATTTATTCATTTATTTATTGGTTGCACTGCATATCTAGATTTAATAGTTCCCTGCATGTGATAGCCCACTTTCTATACCTTTTATATCATGCATCATATGTTTGGAGAAGTTAGTCTTAAATCTTGGTTCTTTTTGTCTGGTACCTTGAACTGCATCTAATTTAGTGTAGTTCGATTAGTCATGGATTTTAAATTTATGTATGTACAAGTCTTTTTCTGGAATATTGTCTCTGTAAGTTCACAGTATAATTATTGGAATTTGGAAATTAATGATATGATTTTTTATTTTATGTTGTACGTTTGCCTCCATGCGTCAGCCTATCATCGTTCAAGCTCCTGGACATGCAGACGTGTCATCAGCGCCAATCCTGCATCCGAATTTTCCATGCAGCTTGCTGCTGTCCAAAGGAGATGGGCATCCCAATCAGTGACGACAGAGGAAGACGACAAGATTAGCATTGGACCTCGTGGTAGAGGAGGACAATCCGGTGAACATGACAAGGAAAATGGAGTTGTTTATTACGGTCCTATCTCATCCACCATAAAAAAAGTTAAACTGTTGTCTCTCTCAACTTGCTGCCTCTCAGTATCTCTGGGTCCTGTCATAACCTTCATGACATCCCCTGATATGAATGTCATCTTGAAGGGTGCAGTAGCATCATCCGTAATATTCCTCAGTGCTTCTACAACGGCTGCACTTCACTGGTTTGTTAGCCCTTACATCCACAAACTCAGGTGGCAGCCTGGTTCAGATAGCTTTGAGGTGGAGATGATGTCATGGCTGGCAACTTATGTGCCCAAGACGATTAAGTTTGCCGACATTCGTCTACCCAACACCCAGAGACCTTTTGTAACATTTAAGGCTAATGGGAACTATTACTTTGTTGACGCAGATCATTGCCATAATAAGGCGCTTTTGGCAAGATTGACACCTCAAAAAGTACCTCAGGAGTCAGCTTTCAAAAACTTGTGATTTGAAACACACTGATATAAACTCTCAGAAAGTTTGCTATTAAGGATGATAATGATATCCCTGGGTCAATATCCATCGGTGGATTAAGTTTCTGTCCCAGTATTTTTGTTTCGATAAAATAACATGTTTGAGATTTGATTTGTATGGAACTCACTTGGAGTGGCATTTTGCAACATCATATGCTCTAGTATTTTGATGCAACTGGAGCATTACTTTTATTTTACGGTTTTTTTTATGTTGTTCAAATTAGTGCTTATTCTTTGTGTGATTCTACACCTTAGAATCTGGAGGCACTTTCTGTTTTAATGTTGCTGTGCTGCTGCTATGGTGCCCTGGTCATGATTGTTGTTGGTAGTATTGGGGAATTCATGTATGAAGTATATTGTGTTTCTATTAGGTCATAAGTTAGCATGAACGACTTAATCTATGCCTATTATCTTCTTGCCTTCTTGGGTTGGAACATCCGATGGCAACAAATTTATAACATTCTCCATACGAAGTTTATAATTGGTTAATTCAATAGTGGAAAGGTAAATTCTCTTCAACTGTTCATTTATTTATATGCTATGAATGAATGAAGAGTTGTAGAAGAGTTGATATAGAAGAGATGAAAAAACTAGTCGGGGCACCATAGTTGTTTTGCAGTGCTCACCGTCTGTCAAATATGAGGTTGGTATGCAAGCCTAGGGTCTTGAATGAGGCAGCCTGAGAGATCAGGAGGATGACGCTTTTGATGATTATCAAATATCAATGATGCCATTTTAGGAGTTATCATGATAAAGTATTTGCTTGAAGTGAGGGTAAATTTCTTTAAAATTATTATTTAATCATAATTTATGAAATATGATCATAAATATTTTTGGAGTGTGCACAAAAATGTATGTTTCCCCACATTGTGGTGTCCGACTATTAGAAAATTATGGGTGAACCGCTCAATTGTGCTTTAGAATGGCATGTAAATTTGCAAACCATATGACTTCTCATTTGAAGAAAACTATGACCAACTGCTTATAGAATCACGGGTAATTTACGAGCAGTGCTTCCCAAAACTAAATGACGTCTACAGATGCATTCAACACCTAATAGCTCATGATTGTAATTTGTTTTTTTATATTGAAGTTATTAATAATTTGACAAAAAAGTTAAAATTGGTAATTTTAACTGTTAAGATGAATAAGAGAATGATTATTTTATTATTTTTTAAATAAGGTTATTGTTTCTATTTATCTATTACTTTAGAAGTTTAAGACAACATTAGTTGCTATTTCTTTCATGTGAAATTGATTTTAGTATTGCTACTGCCCAAACTATAAATAATTCTTCTAACGCGATTTTTGTCTTATCCACAATATTCAAATAATTTCTTCATTTAAAATTGACAAGATAATAAATGAACCATATAATCAATAGCAATAGTAATTATTACTAATTGTAAATTTATCTATTAATTGTCACCATCATATTTAGAGACAAGGAATGATAGCATATATTGAATCACTAAGCTGTGGCAGTGAAGAAGAAACCGTAACCGCAGCATTTGCGGAGATGAACTTTTCACGCAGGATTCCTCATGACATCAGCGACATCAAAACCCAGGGTTAAATATAAAAACTAAATTAGTTTGAAAAGCACCACCAGCGCGAGCGGCCGAACGCAGAACGGAAGCAAACATTTACCCCCCAAAATCACGAAATAGGACAGAAATATAATATAATGCCAACACTTGAACAGACTAGCCCGCGGCGTCCATACAAAAATGATAGTTCAATCAAAGACACTTGACATTGCGGCGGCTGAATGTAAACGCCAAAACAAAACCAAGAAACAGACTCAACCTCGCCACCGTCGATCAAGAACCCAGTTCTGGGAACAAAGGTTGCAAGACGAGGGTGGAAAATTCAAACAACAAACAATACACCATACACTTTGACTCTGGAAAGGTGTATTACCTACAAGAAACCAGCGTTCACTGTAACCAAAATCACACACTTCCTTTGGTAAAGAAACCCGGACAATTCATTTGCCCTTCTTCTGTGCAGCCTTGGTGATCTTGGCCGATGTAGCATCTTTCTTCTCCACGCTCTTGATGACTCCCACAGCCACAGTTTGACGCATGTCCCTCACAGCAAATCGACCAAGGGGAGGATACGCAGAGAAAGTTTCAACGACCATAGGCTTGGTGGGAATCATCTTCACGAAACCAGCATCACCATTCTTCAAAAACTTAGGCTCCTTCTCAAGCTCCTTACCAGATCGCCTATCAATCTTGGTCAAAATTTCAGCAAACTTGACAGCAATGTGGGAAGTGTGGCAATCAAGCACTGGGGCATAGCCATTCCCAATCTGACCAGGGTGGTTCATTATGATAACTTGAGATGTGAAGTTCGCAGCCTCCTTGGCAGGGTCATCCTTAGAATTTGAGGCAACATATCCACGCTTGAGATCCTTAACTGCAACATTCTTAACATTGAATCCCACATTGTCACCGGGAAGTGCCTCCTGGAGAGACTCATGGTGCATCTCCACAGACTTAACTTCAGTTGTCAGTCCACTAGGACCAAAAGTCACAACCATACCAGGCTTCAGGATACCAGTCTCAACACGTCCCACTGGGACAGTGCCTATTCCTCCAATCTTGTAGACATCCTGAAGGGGCAATCGAAGAGGCTTGTCTGAAGGTCTCTTTGGCTCCTGGATCTGATCAAGAGCTTCCAGTAGGGTTGGACCCTTGTACCAATCGAGGTTGGTCGACCTCTCAATCATGTTGTCACCCTCAAAGCCAGATATGGGAACAAACGGAATTTTGTCTGGGTTGTAACCAACCTTCTTCAAGTATGAAGACACTTCCTTAACAATTTCATCATACCTGGCCTTGGAGTACTTGGGAGTAGTAGCATCCATCTGTCATGAAGATTATAAGGCAATAGAGCAATTAATAGTTAATTCAAGTATCAAGAAACTCGACTTCACTGAAGTGAGAGTGCATAGATCTATGAGGCTTAAACACAAACCTTGTTGCAGCAACAGATCATTTGCTTGACACCAAGGGTGAAAGCAAGGAGAGCATGCTCACGGGTCTGTCCATCCTTCGAAATACCAGCTTCAAAACCACCAGTTGTAGAATCAATGATAAGAACAGCACAATCAGCTTGGGATGTCCCAGTAATCATGTTTTTGATGAAATCTCTGTGCCCTGGAGCATCAATGACCGTGCAGTAGTACTTAGTGGTCTCGAATTTCCACAAAGCAATATCAATTGTAATTCCTCGTTCCCTCTCGGCCTTAAGCTTATCAAGAACCCACGCATACTTGAATGATCTCTTGTTCATCTCAGCAGCTTCTTTCTCAAATCTCTCAATAACACGCTTGTCAATACCACCAAGCTTGTAGATTAGGTGGCCAGTGGTGGTTGATTTCCCAGAGTCGACATGGCCAATGACCACAATGTTGATGTGACTCTTTTCCTTACCCATTGCAGCTTAAACTAGAATCAACTGCCAAAATAAAAAATGAAATCACAAATTACCCACAACATATTTCAAATACACGGATCAATGTAAAATACCAATCCATATTCAGCTTACATAATCAAATACATATGATTAGCATAAGACACACAAGAAAACAATATTGCATTAGATTACGTAATCAAAGTAAAAGGAAAGGCGAATCAGAAGGGCCACACATAGTCTAGCAGGGGGAAGAAAATTCCTTCGGCCCAATGAATATTTTAAACATAGTCAATCGAACGATTAGTTCAAAATGGCATCGAGACATGCATTGATCCTCCTCGATAAGGAGATCAATTCATTGACCGAAGCAATAGTCCAGAAGGTCACAAAACCTCTTACCACGACAATATGAAAAAGACGTGGGCCCAAAAGTTGAATCAATAAGAGCTAAACACTGCCAGCAGAGTTGAAACTACCAAAGAAGGATGAAAAATCAGGAAAACAATAATCGCACACGAATATGAACATAAATTTTAAATGGACAGCACGTGATGAAAAAGGATATTTATTGAATGAAGATAATATAGAAATAAGATTCCTGAAAAACCATCCAAGATTCTCAATGTCTAAAGATAGAAGCGAAAGGCAAGGCAGAAAGGCGAAGGCAGAGAAAATGAACCTATGAAAAAATCCAACAGCAGCGCTAAAACCCTAGCCGCAGGGGAGAATGATAAGAGCCCAGTGCAGTGAAGCGGAAAGGGCAGGGTATGAGGATGATCTTTGTGGTAGGGACAATTTCATTAAAAGACCCATGTAACAGCATAATTTTTATTCAGGACCAAATAATTCTGAAACTTCACTGCAGGTTTTTTAGAGTCCAACTAAAATTAAATTGAGAAGCAAAGTGTCCAGATTGCCCTTAATATTTGAAAAAGAAAATAAAATGATCTGATAGGGTTTTATTCTCAATCTCTCAAAATAGAAACCAAATTTCCTCTACCGCATAAAAATTGGTTTATGTTCTCTATGCTCTGTTCTCTCAGCATTCTCAATTTACTTTTTCTCGTCTCTAATAAAGTGTACAGTCATATTTGTTAGCATTCTCTCATGTTTAATGAGAGGTTTCACCCGTTATCGCTACTGAGAGCCTTCGCCATTTTCGCTGCTCTGGTAAGTAGAGCCTTCACCGTCGCCACTGTTCTAGTAAGGAGAGCCTTCGTCATCATTCCTGCAAGTCTTGAACGAGAGGCTTCGCAGTCGCAAATTATTCACAAGTGGAATTCCTAAATTTGTAATAACAATACATAAATTCACAACAGGAACACATCCATTTATAAGTGGGTTAATTTAATTGGAAAAGTTCATGATAATTTATAATATAGGAGCAACTATTTATACATGGAATTTGCGAATTTACAACAAACATAAATTAACAACAGAAATACGTCTATTTGCAAGTAAATTAATTTAATTGAAAAGTTTTTGATAATTTACAAGTGTGGGAGAAATTATTCACAACTAAAATTTGAGAATTTGCAACAAAAATGCATAAATTAATAATAAAATATGTCCATTTTCAAGTAAGTTAATTTAATGGGAAAAGTTTTTGATAACTTTCAAGTGTGGGAGGAATTATTCAAGGAATTTGAGAATTTGGAATTATTCATAATTAAACTTGAGAATTTGCAACAAGAGAAGGAATACATAAATTAATTTGCAATACAAATAACAATACAAATATGTCCATTTGTAAGTGGGCTAATTTAATTGGAAAAGTTAACTATTTGAGAGGGACTATTCACAATTGGAATTTGCATATTTGCAATGAGGGTACGTACATTTACAACAAAAATACGTCAATTTGCAAGTTGTATAATTTAATTGAAAAAGTTGAACATGATAATTAACAAGCCTGGAAGAGACTATTCTCAACAGGAATTTGTAAATTTGTAACAAGGTATGTAGATTAACAACAGAAACACGTCCATTTGCAAATGTGTCCATATATTTATATATTTGCCATCCAATTTCACTACAGTACTTGAGATAACTTATCACCAAGTACCATCATGAAAGTTTTTACCATTATTCATGGCATTACATAAAGTGAATTCCAACCCACCCAAAAAACCTAAATGAGTTGTCATAGGTGGTTCCCTAACCATTCCCAAAATACATTTGGGATTCATATATATAATATATATATAAAAGTTGTATACGAAACTAGAAAAGACTATGTCCACCAATAAAGACACGTAGTGTTTGGATTCCTGTAAGTCTTTCTAGTATGACCAGCTTCGTCATATCTTAAGCAATGATACACTCTCTTTTATTGGAATTGAGATTCAATCCTCTGAGTTCTAGGCCTTCCAAAATGACAAGTAGTCAATAGTGGTTGCAAGAAGATAGGAGATGTGTACCCATCATATCGAAGAGAATCTGGCCTAGAAAAGTCGTGTGTTTCAATTGGAATCACAAGTTTGCCAAAAAAAATTTCTTGAGTTAAGAATAAAAAGTAATCCTCAACATATGCAACTATAATAGCTCCAACCTCAACGAATTGAGTTGTTACTATAGCACAACAATAAGACCATGGATAATTTTGCACACATAGAACATTAAAAACTCAAAGTGAACCATAACTTTAGTTGTTACACCAGTAAGCATAAATTTCCTACAATCAACTTGTAAATGCACTAATATTTGTTGTAAATGGTCTAACTTCGATTGTTACACCAACAAACACGAATTTACTACCATTATTTCGTACATATACTAATTGTTATTATAAAATTGCCTAACTTCACTTGTTATACTAGTAAACATGAAATTGCTACGATTAACTTATAAATATAACTAATTCTTGGTGTAAATTTTCTAACTTCACTCGTTACCCGAGTAAATATACTTGTTATTTTCCTTTACTTCAATTTTTAATACTAGAGACATGTACCAGCAAGACTCATAAAAACTAGAAATTACAAAACAGAGTATACTACAAAAAACACAAAAAGACATTGGCAATAGCATAGCAATTACTATAATTGCCAACAAATATCAATAACCAATTGAAAATTGAAAGTACCCATTAGTTCTTTGAAATTAGTACAATAGAAACACTACCAACAAAAATGAGAGATGGGACTTTTAGTGAGAGCATGTGAAAAGAATACAAATAGAAAAAGTGCACCTAAGCATAGAGTAGTAAAAAACATTATAGGGAGACGAGATTTGTATCAAGAGAACACGAACAAGCATAGAAAACATGAGAGAATGCTAACAAATATGACTATAACCTTCATCAGAAACGAGAAAATGTGAACTGAGAATGCTGAGAGAACAGAGCATAGAGAACACAAACCAACTTTTATGCGGCAGATGAAATTTGGTTTCTATTATAATAGACTAAGAGTAAAACCCTGTCAGACTATTTTCTTTTTCTTTTTTCCCCCCAAATATTAAAGGTAACCTGGATATTTTGCTTTTTAATTTAATTTCATTTTGCTCCAAAAAACTTGCAATGAAGTTTCAGAATTTTTTGGTCATGAATAGAAATTATGTTGCTACATAGGCCTCCAATAGAAATTATGGTTATTTCTATTGTTCCAAAAATGCCCTCGGCTGTACTTTATAAAACTGACAGCAATATCCAAGCACCTGAGTAAACGAAAACATGCTATAGACAGAAAGGTCCTTCGAATGCCAAAAAGAAAACGGAAAAAGACAACAACTAAAAAAAGGGAGGGGGGATTATTAGTTATTTCTATTGAAGAAGTAATTTCTTGTTGGAATTTTCATATCTGACATTGAGACCAATAGAGATGGATGTATCGAGGCCGTTGTTATTAAAAAAATATACTACTGCCTCTGGTTTTGAATATAATTAAGGGATTTTTAAAGACACGTTTTTGGTTAGAAGAAATGAAAACTAACTTGACGATCATAATGTTTAATTAATTCTTAAATTCATAAATATCCTTAATTATGGTTGCAAGAAATGAAAACTAGCCAATGACATGCGACATGCGCTGAGCTCTTGCTACGTTATTTCTCGCAAAACCCAGCCAGCAAGCACTTCAGCGTTTTCCCCTACCCTTTTCCGTTTCTCCTCCACCTGCTCTTTCCCGCTGCCCATAGCTCCGTCGGCGGCAACAGTGCGGTCGGCGGCATCCTAATCTCTTTCAACCCCGTTTCACTCCCTTCAAGTTTCTGGCCTTTGAACGGAATGCTTTTGCCTTAAAAAAGGATGTAATTTTCACATTATGAATGGGCTGAGCCTGAGGCAGCAGTCAAGTCTTGGCTGAAAAACTCGAGGAAATCGTTGTTGTGGTCGTCCCTGTGATCGGACGGCAATCTGTGTTGGTCTTGTTTGGTGAAATCATCGTCCGACTGTAGACGGGGAGATCACGGAGGGAAAGAGTTTCTCGACTTCTGCTTCAAACGGATCTTGCAGAAGGCTACTTTCTTCATTCCCCGCTTCCGGGCCTCAGCAATATCCCTCCATTTCAGCACCAAATGGGCATGAGTCTATAGGATTGAAATCTACTCCCGGGTGTCTGATATGCACACGAGAAGTATTATTACCTATACATATATATGATTCATTAATGACTTTGTAATTTCGAAAATACCCTCTTAATTAAGAGTTAGTGTTAAATAAAGGGCATTTTTGAAACTTTATATCTCCTAAAAATATTAAGATTTCTAACTATTTTTAATGAGATTTATTGGTCTTCGCAATTTATTCCGAAAACATTTTATAAATTGAAACATATGATACGAGCAGTAATAAAGATGTAAAATAATATAAAATTATATTTTAACATGACATTGGCACTATATATATATATATATATATATATTTTTGTTGTTGTGTACGTTGTGACGACAATACAGGTAAATATGAAATGCATGCTTCATGGCAAAATGTGCTGTGAGGGGGCAGCCATCACTTCGTGCTACTTTATCGGGTTTGGTTTAATGGAAACTCACTGGTTGGCTCCACGTGTTTGAACTATGTCAGCGTTAGGCTTGTAGACATTGGTCAGCCAGCGGAAAAACTTCTGCCTTCAATGCAAAAATTTATATTTCATAATAAATAATGGAATTTACGATGCAGACAGGCTCTTTATCTGATATTCAACACCCGGGGGGGGGGGATTAGTAAAATATTTTATTTGTTCCACTGTAGCAATTATTATTTTATTTCTAAAGATAGTAAATACAATAAGTAATTAAGTAAGGTTCGGTTCTCCTAACCCAACGATTTCTAGTGTAACCGTCGCATTTGGTCCCTTTGAAGGTTTCTTGGCCAAGTTCTGGTCCCTCTCTGTTTTCCCTTCAATATTCACGCCCGGCCATCAACTTCTCGTCTGCACTGGGGCTGAACGCCCAACAATTACCTCGCTTCCCATAACCCCACATCTCGCTTTTCATGCAAAGGTATTATCATATTGTAACTTTAGTATTGTTTAAAACATGCATGCTAGTTATTCGCATATCAGTTTCCAGAATCTAAAGACTTGCCTTTACCAATTTGAGTTTCTGTTCAAATTCGTGTCTAATTTCCTTTTACAGTACCATGCAAGTATGGAATTTGGCTTACATTTGACAGCTAGCCTACCTAGCTAGCTTTGAATTCAACGAAGAAATAGTTATATACGCACCAGGTTTATACAGTATATATGTAAGATCGATCAGGACTTGCTTGCTGCATATACACGAATTACTTTCATAAATATATGAACTGCATCCTGACCATTTGGTGGTGTACGTACATGCACTTAGCGGCACGTAGAATCTTTCAGATTTAATGTGTATTACTTGAAATTAAAATGTCCGTGTCTTATTCCCTCTGTTGAGATTTGTAACTCTTAGCACTTGTTCATCCTTCCCTTGCTGTAACTATTTTCCTTACACAAAGTTTTGTTGTTGTCGTCGTCTTCAAAGATAAATGCTAGGACATGGCTAGAAAATGGGGTTGGTTTTCTACAGTGAAGAAAGTTATCAGTCCTGCTGATTCCAAGAAATATCAGGTTTATTATATTATTTTCTTGTGTGACTGTCCCATATTATCTCTGGCAAGAAAAAGAAGAAAGTAAATTTTACGCTTCTGCTCGGAAATCACAGCAGATTTTAATTCATCACAATTTTTTTTGTCTTTTAAATGAAAATCAGAAAAACCACAATAAGCTGAAGACAACATGGTCTGCCGAACCAGCAGATTTGGAACCACCTCTTTCATCCAAAGAAGAACCAGTATTTGATGTTGCCCCTCCTCTTCCATCTATTGGCACTGGTCAGGAAGAGATCAAGCAAGATTATCCAGTAGATGATGCCCCTACTGCTGTTACAGCGGATGCTGCAACTGCTGATGACGCACAGGCTACTAATGAAGAGGTTAATGTTCATCTAACAAGTCCGCCTCATTACCTGGGGAAGACAAAGGAAGAAATAGCTGCTATCAAAATTCAGACGGCATTTCGAGGGTATCTGGTATGTGGATGTGCCTTCTCAAAAGAGCAGCTTCCTTTCTGTTGATACAATTTGCAGCAATACTAGCTAGCTTGAGTAATATGTATGTGAATGTAACTTTGTCTTGTTTCTGGGGTTTTTAGGCGAGAACAACATTGCATGCATTAAGAGGGCTGATGAGGTTGAGAACATTGATGCAAGGGCACTCTGTGAAACAGCAAGCAGTAGCCTCCTTACGATGCATGCAGACTCTTGCAAAGGTGAAATCTCAGATTTGTGAGAGGAGAATTAGAATGTCTGACGAGAACCAGTCCCTTCAGCGGCAGCTGCAGCGTAAACATGAGAAGGAACTCAACAAGACGCAAATCACTGTAAATTTTCTTCATACTTTCTAGCTTTTTAATGCAGATTCTATATGGTGCAGTGTGTGTTACAGGGAGAATTTTCATTTGATCAGCCTAATAAAATGTGTCCTCTATCGTATCCAGATTCTACTATTGTTGTTTTTGTTGGTGGTGGCAGTGGCTAATGTGATGTAGTGAAGTACATTGTTTGCAGGGTTAAGTTTTGACAATCGATTTATTATTCTCCTTTCGCCCTCAAATTGAACTTCTCAATCACATACAGCACGTAATTAATGTCTAAATCTCCTCACGATAAATATGAGTCGGTGAATTTTTCAGGCCAGGCGTCTGCTTAGTTTGTATATTTAAGGTTCTGTGATTACAACGCTGACATCTTTGGATGACTCGTTCCTTCTGGTATTTTGGGCACGCACGTCCGGTTAATAAGATATCGCTTGTATTCCGCTGTTAAAAGGAGGCTGGGAATGGATCTTGTGTGATGGATACTGCTTTTGATAATTTGGACTAATTGCAGAGGGGAACGCAATAATGCAGATTGGAGAAGAATGGGATGATAGCACGAAATCTAAGGAAGAAATTGAAGCAAGGCTGCTGGACAGAAGAGAAGCAGCTGTGAGAAGGGAGAGGGCTCGGACTTACTCATCCTTACATCAGGTAAAGACTCTAAATTAAATCGTAAATAATGCAGAGATATTGAGTTTGTATGAGTGTGACAGAGCATCATACGAAAGCTAATAATAAGAACTGTGGGAAAACCAGCAAACATGGAAGAAGGCCTCAAAGAGCGGAAACAGGACGTTGATGGGAAGCACGAACCCAGATTGGCGCTGGAGCTGGGGGGAGAGATGGATGGGAGGAGGGGCGTGGGGTGAGATGGAGGTGGCGGCAAGGAGCGGGGTTCAGTGGCTCAAAAACCAAGCCACCATTCAAGTGATATTGAAGAGGGAGAGCCAAGGCGAGGGCAGCACCATCGGAGGCATAGCATTGGGGGATTGGCAGTGAGAGAGGATGAGGAGAGAGTGGCGGGCAGCGCATCAGGGAAGGCCAAGTCCAAGTCTTGTGCTGCACCTTCTTCCAAATTATGTGCCCTCTCTCCCTCTGCTTCCAAGAGGCATTCTTGTCCTCCTCACATCCACACATTCCGCCATAACCACAAGCCACCACTTCACTCACACTCATAACTCATTCCTGGCCAACCGCTCCGTCACCGAATGCTTTCTTCTTCGTTACTTCTCTCCTTCCCTTCATAACTCATGTCCACCTCAACTTATTTGCTATTTCTGGTTCTGTAATTTTCAAGCTCATTCAAATTAATCTTGCTCCCATTTCCCCCATAAGCTAATTTATTTTTTGTGCACCAGCTTTATTTTCTTTTTGAGTGCCTTTATTGCCAACGTGGCTTTTTTTTTTTATGGCCATATTAAGTTTTAATTTGATAACATAGGAAATGATTCTAAAATGTTTACCAAGCAATTTCCAAAAAAGAATCAAACCGTATATATTAACGTGAAAATAAAGATAAGCGATCAATTCCCCCCCCCCCCAGCAACTTTCAATTAAAAAGATACTCACTATTTAAAATTGGTTTATATATGTACATATATCTATATCTATCCTAAAATGAAAACAAAATACACCTAATTATCACACAATAAAAATGTCTTCCTTATACAGAATGTCTCCTTACTCACATTTCAAATATATGCTCTTGTCATTATTGAAAGATAAATATTCAACTTTTCATGATTCAGAATTACATGTATTTTATTGGCCAAAAAAAATACATGTATTTTTATAATTTATTCGATCAACAAGATGTAATTAGTTAAATATTTTCATCCATGGCATGGGAGATATAGCTAACAGGTCAATCTCAAAGCGGAATCAATTTCAGTGCTCATCACCGTGATGCTTATCAATCTCAACCATTCAAATTTAATATAGATAGTCGATATTTAATATTTAATGTTTTTGTTTTTCAAAAAAAAAATTTCTTTTTAATATGTACATAATCCAAAATAACTGTAAGTTTTTTTTTAAAATTTTTTATCTAAAAATCACTAGTTAAAAAATTTAAATCTAAACTATTAAAACCAATTTTAAATGACTTAGATTTTACTGTAGGAATGAGTATCATGATACTTATCATCACAATAAAAGTGGCCTCGTCTCAAAGCTTGACAATTTCTATGTTAAGTAAAACATAATGACACTCTCGTCACAATTTTACTTGGGCAGTTGGAGATTGGATTGTTGCATTACTCACAATCTAAGAGGTCTCTTATGGTAAAATTGGAAGAAAAAAAATTCTAGGAAAGAATCTATGTTTAATTTGTTTCACATGCACCAACTATTAGCGAGCTTTCGTACGCAGCAAAGCTTCCTAAAAGAATGAAAAGATTGTAGATTTCACCTAAAACACAAAAAAAAAAAAAAAAAAAAATTAAGGCAGTCTCATAAAGCTAAAACTCCAACAGTCAAACTGAAACTGAAACCGAAACCGAAACCGGAACTGGAACTGGAACTGGTATGGGTGACCAAGAAAACCTGATCTAGTTTTGGGCTTTATAGCTCCTGATGACAATGTGATGCATTATCTGTTCCTTCAACTGTATTGGTCTACTTGAATTTTGTGCCTTTTCAACTTCGTTATTGCTAGCACAGAGAAGGAGATTGCGTAGGCCGCCGTGTCTCCAAACGGTTAGTCAGTACTGATGTCCGCCAAAGATCCTGTTGATTCTTTCTTTAATTCCGTTAAGGTTGTGAAAGAATTGCTTTCGCCACTGGAAGTGGGCATTCAGCCCATGGCAAAGTTTGAACCTTGCTTGGCGAGACCAAAGAATAAGGGAAATGGTGCCCAAGTGAGCGAAGGTTGTAAGTTTCAGATCTGTGGTGTGAAGAAGGTTAAAGATGAGCAAAAGAGGGGGTTACAGAATTCAAGAGATCGGTCAAAAGAGAAGGCGTTGACTAAGGAGGATGGGCCTTCCACCAACTGTTTTCAGTTTGCTGTCAACTGGTCTTTTTTGGTTAATGGCTTTCTTCAGTCGCCGCCAACTCCTTTCGAATCAGGACAAAAGCGATTCCAGAAAATGGACGCTGAAGATTATCCATGTTCGTACCGGAAGTCCAATGTTCCATGGGAATGGAAGCAAACAGAATTTAACGGTCAGTCCATCGAGATATTTCGGGACAAGGATGTAAAAAGGAAGGGGGTACATCGTGTTTCATTCGAATGCTTAATAGGTTTTATTTCCGATCGCTTGACTCCAAATCTTAGTAAGTTGGATCAAGGATTGCAGGGAAACGATAGTGACCGTGAAAAGACTAATCTGCTGCATCCTTCATCTGATTTTAGTCATTTGAAAGCATTCATCACTAGTATTTTGGAAAGGCACCGACAACATGCAAATAGGTTCTTAAGAAATTTAAAATTTGCAAAAGTGGGCGGTGTGCCATCAAGTATAATAGAAGTAAGCCATTCAGCTAAACAAGAGCAAGATGGCAGCGCTCCTGTTGAAATCAGGGAAGAAATGGGAAGAATTAATTCTTCTGCTTCCTCAATTTCATTGGCAGAATTGATTGAGCTTCTACAAGAAAATCCCGATGTCAAGCTATCCTCGACGCAAGACTTCTTTAAATATACAGAGGGCGAAGGTATGCAATGTCAACGAGAGGCAGAACAACTCGAATGCTCTTATATGTGCTAATCCCTATTTGCATCATCATATTCTTACAGGGAGGAGGCTCTTTGAGGAGTTGGATAGAGATGGTGATGGGCAAGTAACTCTGGAAGATCTGAAAGTCGCAATGAGAATGAGAAAATTGCCACCAAGATATGCTCATGAATTTATGTCCCGTACCAAAAGTCACTTGTTTTGCAGGTCTTTTGGTTGGAAACAGTTTTCATCTGTGATGGAGCAGAAGGAGCCAACAATTCTTCGTGCATATACTTCTTTGTGTCTAGGCAAGTCTGGGACACTTACGAAGAGTGAAACATTGAAATCACTAAAGAATGCTGGACTCCCAGCGAACGAAGACAATGCAGAGGCTATGACGAGATTTCTGAATGCAGACACTGAAGGGTCTATCTCCTACGGACACTTCCGCAGTTTTATGCTTCTTCTCCCCCCATATCGTCTTCAAAAGGATCCAAGGTAGATATATATAATCATATATACACTACTCATCAACCGTTTTATTGTCTTTTCCATCGGTGCTGATCTCATTATCCTTACTCCACTAAGTATTTGATTCATCTTGAATGATCCTAGGTTTGTTGATTGTATTCTCTAGTCGTGAGAGGATTAAGCGCTCCTCTTTCATTTCAAGAATAATTTCTCAAGGGTTCAGGAATTATGAAACTATGCAACAAGATTAGAAAGAATGCAAAATGTTGGACATAGTACTTTGATTTCCTTATTGTCCCAACTCTCACTAGCTGCCAATGACTAAGATTCAATGCTTATGTTAGAAACTCTTGTTGCCAATGGTTATACCTTCAGGGGTACTGGCGTTGCTGTTCCACCACCGGTTGAAAAGCCTGCTGAAAGTGTTCTAATATCGGCGCTGGCAGGGGGCCTTTCTTGTGCCATGTCTTGTGCATTAATGCATCCAGTTGACACAATCAAGGTGTATTCTTGCTAACAATTTCATTACATTATTAACAATGTTGATGCTTTGGATGCTTTAAGTGTTGCTAGTAACTCCATCTTCTCATTTATCTGATATTTTTGGATCTTTTACACAACTAAAGCTCATCATTGTCTTGTTTCGTACGCTAGACTCAAGTACAAGCATCCACCCTAACCTTACCTGAAATCATTTCTAAGCTTCCACAAATTGGAGCAAGAGGTTTATACCGGGGGTCAATACCAGCAATTCTGGGACAGTTTTCAAGGTTGTATACTTTCCAATACTCTCCACATCTTCACACCTGAAGTAATAAAAGCAGAAAATGAAAGGGGAAAGCTTCATCAGTGCTTACACTCAGCAATGACAGTATTATTATTCTAGTAAGCTCATGATCCCTTTTGATAATGCAGCCATGGCTTGCGAACTGGAATATCTGAAGCAAGTAGGCTAGTGCTGATAAATGCTGCTCCGACATTACCAAACTTCCAGGTCTACTGTAAAACTCTTCTAATTTTCTTTTATTTATATGCTAGTTAGTTCGTGGTCAGGTTACTATATCTCTTTCATCCTCGTTTCATATTGTTTAGGTTTTGGAGAACAAAGTAAATTTCCTCAGTAGTTAGGGAGTGTTTGGCGGAATTTGAAGGGATGAATGGCGTTCAGATAATTGTTAAGACGTGCATGTCCCACCAGAGTCTTTTGTGGACCATCTGCACTTCCTAATGAATGAATTAAGATTGGACAAACCACTTCTGGCTATGTAGCTTCTCTGCTTTTCCCTCTAACAATATAGTTAAAACAAAGTTGTCCTGGACAATGATGAATTTTTTTCATTGAGCATGACTGCTTAATTTGTTAAACTGTGGTTGGTGCTGTCCTTTAAAATGTCATTTAATATTTTTTGATGTTACTTTTCAAATCCATCATGCTAAATGCTTAGTATTTTATGCAGATACAATCTATAACATCATTGTGCAGCACATTTTTGGGAACGGCGGCACGTATACCCTGTGAGGTGTTAAAGCAGCAATTGCAGGCTAGTCTTTTTGAGAATGTGGGGGAGGCTACCGTTGGGATTTGGCGCCAGCATGGACTCGGGGGTTTCTTTCGCGGAACTGTAGCTACCCTTTGCCGTGAGATTCCGTTTTATGTCGCCGGCAGCGGGCTTTATGAGGAATCCAAGAAGGTACATAACTTCAATGCCTTGTTCAGTTTTTTCATATCGATATACTCGTATTTATTTATTGATGAAATAGGCTTCCATTCATCCAGACGCGCGTATTCATACACTGTAACAAGCTGACATAACTTTCTGTAGAGATAAAATATGGTTCCCCGTTCAATGAAGAAATTCCGTTGTAAGGAGTTAGCGTTGTATGATGATCGGGGTACGACTGAAGCATGTGTGTGTTCTGTGGCGTTGAACTGGGGCATATATGGCTACATACATACATACATACATATATATATATGTTAACCGGAATGAATCACCATGCTCAATGTTGTGACTAGTATTTCGCATCATCTCTGATAGTACTGAGTAGAGTGTGGTGCTGGTGTTGAAGGCTGTGCAGCAATTACTAGGGCGGGAACTGCAACCTTGGGAGACAGTGGCTGTCGGGGCTTTATGCGGTGGCTTCACCGCTGTCATGACGACACCATTGGATGTAATCAAAACCAGAATGATGACCGCACAAGGTCAATCTCTGTCGGCCGCCGTAGTTACTCTCTCGATCCTCCGCCATGAGGGACCGCTCGGCTTATATAAAGGAGCAGTGCCCAGGTTCTTCTGGGTTGCTCCACTTGGCGCCTTCAATTTTGCAGGCTACGAGCTGGCCAGAAAGGCCATGACTAGAATTATGAATGACCAAGCTTCTTAATTCTTGATTCACCTGCATCCCCCTCTAGCACTTTCTGTTCTGTACATTTGTGGTTTGCCATCCGTATTTGTGATCCACTTCAATTTGCACTTGCAAATTTTATCTTGAAAACAAGAGTTAGCCATTTCTTTCACTTTCTTCACTTGTTTACGGATGTTAATCCTTTCTTTCTTTCAAATCAATTATTGTGGAGTAACCATAGCAACAATTTGGCATCGACTTGATCGTAAATGGATTTATTTAACAGCTAAAGGTTATGATTATTTATTTATTAAACTTTGATAAACTTTACAACTCATAAAACAAAACATAATAATATAAAAACTGATAAATTAAATTACAGCGGATTGAACCCAAGACCTTCTAAAGAGCAAGCCTTAGTGCCCGTACATGCCTGATGTCGATTTGATCGCATCATGATTCATGACCACCACAATTACTCTATCATATATCCAACGGCGGCCTCTGTACCCCCCATGAAAATTGAAATCCATAGTCTTTGACCCAGGCCGCTCTAGGAATCAGCTGCCCTGCCATGGACGCCTCCGACGAATCGAAGTCCGAGACGCCGACCGTGGTGAAGCTGAGGCCAATAGACGCGACTCCCTCAACTTTCAAAGACTACGGTCAGGTCATCGAGGCTTCGCCGGACGGCGACGAGTTCGGTCCTCATGACGCTCAACTGGACCTGAGCCGTGGAACTCCCAGGTCCTTAATAACCTTCCTTGCGTATGAGTGTGTTGTTTTTCTGTTATGCGGAAAGCGACTTTTAGATTCTGCTCTCTCCCTCCTTTTTTTTTTTTAATTCATTTTCTTCTATCAGTTCAATTGATTTCTTGTTAAACGGGATTACATCCAAGTATATGCGTGGACATGGTTCGCAGTTCTGAGGATTTCGATTTCGACTGACTTGATAATTGTGGTTGGACCCTTTCTGAAACTGGTTGTGGGGAAGAAACTTGGAGTCTGCAGCATAAGAAATCAGAACTTTTTATTGGGTTCTTACTAATATTGTTAACCTAGGTCAATATGCAAGTCAAGTGGCTGTTTATTTTGCTTTCATAGTTAAAAGTCTGGACGTATCGCTAAATTTACTGTACTAGGTACCTTGATCAACAAGTGACCGATTAGATGTTATTTGATTTATTTCTTTTATCACCGAAGATGGATTGATAACAAACTATAGAGATGAGTTTGGTGGCCAACAAATGTAATACTAGTTTTTAGTTATTTGGAAGACAACTAATGAAGCGTTCATGTTGCATAAATCCATTCATCCGCTTCTTGGAGCATGTTTCTGGGAGCTAGTTTAAGCAATACTTGGTCACGGCTCTTTTTTCTAAGATATGCTGGCAACATTGAGAAGAACTGATTGAGTTATGAAGAGCTTAAATCTATCCTATCAAATAAGATTTATTTATATTCCTTTTTTTTTTTTTTGGGTGGGGTGGGAGCATGCGTTTGGAGTTGAAAATGATCCAATCCTTCATATTGACAGGTTTTACATTATGCATCTTGAAAATCGTCCTCTTGAGTTTTCTACGATTACGCACCATGCAAGTGTGACCCAGTGCCTTGGGTCAATTGGCGGTCATGTTTGGTATCTTGGCGTTGCTAAGCCATCCATTGTTCAGTCGAATGAAGTCAAGGACGACAATAGCAAAAAGGCTGTGCAATCACGCTGTGGTCATCTATATGTGCCTCCTGCTGTCGAGGATGTCCAGGTTTTTAAGGTTTCTGGTTCCAAATTTCTGAAGCTTAAGCTAGGGACCTGGCATGCTGGCCCTCTATTTAAGGCACAAACAATGGACTTCTACAATCTTGAGCTAAGCAACACAAATGTGAGCCTTTTCGCCTTTCCTATATCTGAAGTTTCTCATGCATCACAGTTCATTAGTTCTTGTGCAAGGTTCTTCAAAGGAACCTTGGACGTCATGTAATCTTTACCGGAATAACACATCAATTGAAGGTCATAAGAGGCTTGATTCTAAGGCTTAAGTTCAAGTTCAATTGAATTGAGAATACTATTGATGCGGCAAAATAACCATCTGCTACACTTGGTTTTCTTCTATCTATTTACATGTCATGAGCCTAACCTCGGGTTCTGTTTATGTAGGTGATTGATCATACGCCGCACAGCTTCATCAAGAACGATGGCGTGGTCTTTTCAATCGATGAGTGATTTCTAGTTGCTCGCAGCATTTAACTAGTACTGCAAACTGCACATTGTTCAATAATGCTACATGATTGTTCTCCCCCCCCCCCCAAAAAAAACACCAAAAAAAAAAAAGAAAACCAGAAGAAGAATGATAGTCTGTGTAGTTTAATGTTTATTTATTAATTGCTAACTAAATAAATTTTCCAGTGTGCTGTATATGAGTTTGAAAAATGAGCTGTGCATTATAATATGTTATTAATGTGACGTGAAAAATATGAATTTTTCACCAACATTAATTGGCATATTTAATTGGCTTGCATTTTACGAAGGATAATCAGGGCGCCAATGCCAAGCATCCAATAAAAAGTAGAAGGAACCATAACAAATGTGAGAATTAGTCGACTTGTATTTGAAGAATATTATTCCTGTGTCGTATAGAAGTAAAGTAAGCGAGTTTTCTTTAATAGTACTAATTAATTTTTCAAGAGGATTCTATTTAAGAAGATCTCCCGCATAGATGCGAGGGACTTAAGCCTAACAAACACTTCTCAAGTCAAAACTCTGCATACATGCATACACAAATCTTAAAAACTTCAAAAGAGTAAAGAAGAAAGTATCATGGAGCTGTTATATCTGTTTTCACCTTCTCTGTTTTTTCTCCCCCCTTTTTCTCTTTCTTTTTCTGCCTATTTATGGCAAGAGAGGAATGAGAAGAAAGAGAGGTCCTATAATGAAAGCTTGACGCTGATATTTAAGCATTCTTCTTGTGCTATGACTGAGGAAAAAGATCATTGCAAGTCAGGCAGTCTTCATCCGGCAAGCTTAATTGGTACGACTCTTTCGTAGTTGGTCTATCTGCAAGCATTTACAACGAGTTCATGCAAGCAGAAGAAATGAGGGAGCTTCAACTTAAATAAAAACTCTAAAACCTTATTTTGATAATCTCTAGATATATGATCCAATTTGAACTCAAGTTGATTCTTAAACTTAACGGTGCCCTCATTTGAAAAGCTGACGTTGTTGCTCAGTGACAGTTGGAAGGACGTAATTCGGTTCCTTGTTAGTAAAATCGTTTGAGTTCAGGGGGAGTTACGTAAAATAGAAGCATGTGTATATATGTTTATCATTTATTTATTTTGCTCATTTAATCTTTTCCCTCTGAACTATACACTATACAAAACATTTATAATAAAACTTTAGACGAGGAGTACTCCATCAAATATGCTAGAAAAGTTAAGTTTTGCTGACAGAGTAACTAGATTGGATGGATTTTGGAATGCATAAAATGATTAAAAAAGAAAAGAAAAGAAAAGGATGAAGACGTGTTAGAAGTTAATGAAGCTGGTGATTCCAAGGTGGGATAGAGTGGACATAAAACATAATAACACAAGCATAAGAATCTTCAATAACCCCACATAACATAGCGTACAGATTTTGTCAGACTTATTTACCGTAGGAGAAGTAATTCAATGCGATATCTCAAAATCGAACATCATTAGGCATCTTCATCGTCTGCGTATAATTTCAATCAAGAGATCAGTTATGATAATCCAAAAATAAACACTCTGTGCGCGTGTGTTTTATATTCCAAAATGAAATTGGAGAAGAAATCAGTTAAGATGGTCAGAAAAGGGACCTTGAATATATCTTCGAACATGCCCATGGCATTCCTTCGCTGCACCCCATAGAATTTCTCCGCAATGGCATCTATCATCTACGTACACCACACTTTCATGTCAAGCCAACCACACTCATTTATTCAACTTCAATAATAACCCCGCATGCATATATTGTTAATATATCATTATGTCAAATTAAATTCGTAGCAAACCATATGGCTATGTTGAAGAGTTGAGTACGGTGAGACTTGGGAGAAGGTAACGAAAAAGCTTCAAGCAATGCACTGAATCTCATTTCATCTCATACTATTGTGCGTAATCTGTACTAACCTCGTTGAATCCAGGTTCCCTGCTAATACATAACTTATATTTCGATCTCAGCATGGTAAAAAGAGGAAAAACATTTCTCTCCAACCTGCATCGTTGGCAGAAGGGGAAGAATTTATAGACAGAGTCAGAATTTTCAATAGATCTTAGGATTTCGTAGACAAGCTAAAACTGATTCTGAAATCTTTACACAGTTGTTATTCAATGATGAATCTAAACATGAACTTGTATGCAGAGTACCGATAGCCTAATACTTAAGTGTTATATATAGATTGTCTTGTTTACATAAAGAAAGATGAACACAGAGTATTAGTATTTTGTGTAGGATTTCATCCCCAAGGCTTGAACTTTACAGGATCCAAATAGTACCAATCATTACCAGGAAACAAAATAGGAGTTAAATACACACAAACATATGGAAATAGTTTAATTACCTATCAAAAATAGTTGATGCAGTTAGTAATCTATCAGTTCAACATGGATCAATGCAACGCATTACATGTCTATTCTTTATATGTGGACTGAAGAACAAAGAATGGATGAATCAGTCCATAAAGAAAAAGATGAAAACTTACGTACGTTGGCAAAAGGAAACTGACGAACTGCATCAAGTCTGTCTGAGGGAACTCAATGTCTGCAGCCTCAGCTTCTCTCTTTATAACTTCCATAAGTATTTTTGCATCTTTCAGATTACCTGAAGATAAGTACCTGTCATGTCACGCAAGAAATAGGTAATTTCTAGCTATGAAACTTTGTTAATTTGTACATTGATAAAAATTTGCTAGATCCTTTACGTTCATAAAAAGTAGCACAAAAAATATATTAATAAATATGAAAATCATGTTATTTCTACAACCACCATCTTCCTTTTTTCCCCGTGTCTCTCCAACACCCCCCCAAAAAAAAAAAAAAAAACACGCACACACACACACAGAGGTAGGACTGATCAGATTGCAAAAGTTAAATTAAACGAATAAGAAGCTTAGCATACATTGAGAACAACGAAAATCTCTTGTTTACCTCAAAATTGCTCGAGCAATGGCCAAATCATCTTCTCCAGGATAACACTAAAAAGTAGTTGGAGAGGCTTATTAGTAGAAGCTTGTGGAAGAATAGTAATTAGTCCCTAATTAATTTTGTAAAAGTAGAAGAAGAAAGCACGCAGGAATGTACACCTTGGACATAAAATTGACAAGAGTAGAAGCCAACATGGAAGGATCATTTCCTCTCACAAAATGATAAGTCACCTTAGCCATATCCTGCAATAATATGAATTAATAATCACAAATGAGAATAAAGAAAAGAATGAAAGGGGTGAATATGGATGAATTACCGGCTCGGGGGACTCAGAATAAGCGTATTCAGCGAGCAGAAGGTGAAGGATGGGAGAGCCATGACCGTCGGGACCAAAGACGGCGGACCAGCGGATGGCGGCTTTCAAGAAAGAGGAACAGCCGTCGACTCTTATTTTGGCCACCCCAAGCGCTTCTGTTAGTTTCTGCATGTCTTCCTCATCCTCCAAGTTACTCGGCAGTGTCCCTCTCGGAAACTTACTGTATATTTTCTTCACCCGCCCTGTTTATCTATTATTATTACCCATTCATCCTTCTTCATTCACACATATACAAAAACACAGCACACAGATATACATGTATATACCAAGACTTTGATCGTCACAAGGAATTTTGCCCTGCTCTAGTGTCTCCGCAAATATTAAGGCAAGCTCTGCTCCGCAGATTTCCTGATCCATCCATCCATCCATCAACCCCTAGTTAATTTCATAACCTACGCATTTTAATTCCCTCCCTACAAACTTGTAAATACACTGAATTGAAATGAAAAGTATTATGACCTGTCCCTCTTCCAGCTGCAGGCATGCTCCTGATTCTAATATGTCTAAAGCTTCCGAGAACCTCTCAGCATTTACATATCTGTACGTACCATTCATCAGATCAATCTCTGTTTCAGTAAATTATTTTATGGAAACTTACAGACACACACACACACACACACACGTGTTTATTTTCTATTTTCAAAATATATACAGAGATATCTTGAGAACAGGGAATAAATCACGTGAGCTTATTTGCATTTCCCCATTACCATAATGATTAGAATTAAGAATCAAATATAGTGATCGATTGGAAAGCCATGAAATGAAACTGAGAGGTTTGAACCTGGTGCTGATAGATTTGTACATTTGTTGAGCTCGATAGTAATTGCCCTCTTTTACCAGTTTCTCCAATCTATCAATATGCTGCATATAATTTCATATCACAAGATAATAAATATAGGAAATGAATCCACAGGCGGAAAAGCTATTATGAGGATGCAAGGAACAAGAAGTGAGAAGGGAAAATTTCCTGTGAGGATGCATCTCTGTTGAATAGCAAAGGTATTAATTAATGATGATAGGTAGAATGTAAGAATTCAACAGGGTGGGTACGTGGATACCTCTTGGGCAGGAGGTAAGACGGCTCTTTTTCTCTCTCGAGACATTGCGACGGCAGAGAAATGATTGAGGCAATTCGTGGGGGGAAGAAGGAAACCAACTGAAACTGACGCAGAATCAAGACCTGCGCTTTGCCTTGCCTTTCACATCACAAATCCAGACGCTTTACCCGCCATATTTATTGCCAATTCAGCTTATTATACGCCATTCACAATTCTCACAATAAATAAATATGAAGCCCTCTCAGTTTTGTTTATCCTCCTTGTGCATCATAATAATAATAATAATAATAATATTCAACCCATATTTATACTTGTCAAATAAATCAGATAGACTGTTTCCTCCTTTATATTCTCCAATTTAATTGATATAAATGAATCTTCTTTTTTGTTTTCAGGAACGACTCTAGGCTCAAACTCAGCACCTCAGCTGAGATATGAATGCGAGGTCAACTTACAAAGTCATATTTAAGTTGGGCGGCAAGAATCTCTTTTAGCTTCTTTTTTTTTTTTTTTTACAAATAAAATTATTAAACCCCTAAATAAAACATAATTTGGCTTTATCCGTATACAAAGCCCGTAGACAAAGAAAGTTGAAAGAGGTCCAATAAAATCAAGTTTTTGCTGGCCAAAAAAAAAAAAAATAAAATCAAGTTTTAATCGGGTAGCAATTAGATGTAGTAGTTTTTATCTGTAAAATTCTACAAAAGCCCAATAAAAATCATTTGCTCATCATGCATAACAGACAATAAATACTGGTATATTTATTTCTTCCATTCGCTTCTAACGTCTATGTTCTTTAGGCATCGAAGACAGCAGAGTTTAAAAATTAAAACAATGTTCCGACAGGATATCACGGCGCCCAAAATTATTACTCTACTAGCTCTGCTTTCATTTATTCATTGGAATCTGAATCTGGATCGTTGAAATAAATGCAGGCATGAAGAGGACACATTCTGGAATGATGTTTATCTCATCTGCATGTAAATATGAACGAGTATGATTTTTACAGCCACAACATGGTCATCAAGGAGGCCACACGTGTCAAGATCCCATACACGTGTCTTCCCATGCTGCTTTGAACCCTTTCTATAAGAAGTACGCAGACGATAAGACTGAAAGAGGAGGAAAGGACGGTGATGGGTTCAGAGACGTTCTTAGAAGTTATCTTAGCAATATTGCTTCCACCTGTTGGAGTCTTCCTCAGATATGGCTGTGGAGTACGTACCCTCTCTCCCTCTCTCTCTCTTTCTCCCCATGTTATTTACTTTTTAATGACAACTTTTCTTTTCTGTATTTCTGTTGCTTTCATTATTCAAGCAAAATTAGCTTCAGAATTTTTTTTTTTTGTTTCATATGAAGTAATTTAGATTTAGTTAGAATTTTCAATGAAAACTTTGAGTTCGCTGACTTCTTTAGTCCCTTGTAAATGTTCTCCGAGTAAATAAGATTCCTTTAAACTTAACTGTCGGTTTTCCTTCTTCCTGACTCGCATCAATGAATGTTTATATAGCTTGAAAATTACTCCTATTTCTGGAGTCAGGAGAATCTTAATGAATTTTTCTTTTGATTCATTCCCGGTCTATGTAAGGAATGAATTACATTAATTAGAAACACACAGTGACTGATATAGGAAATGAATTGGGAATTGCAGGTGGAGTTCTGGATATGCCTGTTGCTGACAATTTTGGGATATATACCTGGCATTATATATGCCATTTATGTCCTCGTTGGATGATACTTCACATATCTGCTCTGTTTTTTTCCCTTTAATATTTTCACCGGTTTACGCATGTGGGTTCGACTTTACTGTATCTTCTGTTCCCCATCTGTTGTCTTTAGAAAGATAGACGTTTTAGCTGTTCTTAATAGAATGATAATAATTATTCTGTAGATGCAACAGGCTTTGTGATCTGCATTGTACTCTAAGTTGTTCAGTTCAAATTCAGTGTAATATCAGTACGAAACACGATCTGATTTCAACTCAGTTATTGCAGTTCTTTTCAATAGAAACGAATTTCATAATGCTCTTTTCATTTATTATGATGGTTTTGATTGTTGACAAGCAAAGTTATCTTAATCACGAAAATATGAAAACACTCTTTTCTGGGAAAGACATGAATACTTTCCCGGAAAACAGAAAAATTTGCAGTCTGTTCCGAGCACAATCAAATCTAATAAACACTTCAGAGTTCTGACAGGGCAGAGTATTAGGATGTAGCCCGGCTCGCTAAAGTTTTTATGGATCTTGATTTGTACTAAGCTCTATGAGTACATCACCACCGTCCCCAGTAGTTGTAATTGCCTGACAATGGCGTGGAAGAACTTTAGCCACTTTGTGCGATATTGGCCTCTTGCCCTTAGCACACAACTCTGCTTGTGCTTCTGTGGTAGTTTTAGTCCTCGTTTTGTGATTTCTGATGAAATCTTTGGTTTTGTCTTCACAATGCTGAGAACAACCCTTTGAAATCTTAATATCATCTTTATCTTTCAGTGCTTTTGATCTATTTTCACTTCCATTTTGTCCACCACTCTCTTCCCTTCCTGCTTCGACCTGTAAGTGAAATCCGTAAACCAAGTTAAAATGCAGCATGATTAAATCATGAGACCTAAATAAAATCTAATGCGACTGACCTGATCAAAGTATCCAATTTTGGGCAATGGCAATCGGATGCTAGAAGGTTTTAAATTTGTTGAAGAAAGCAATGGAACAGAATTGCTTGGTGGTGCAATGGAAGTTCCTTTGGGACGAACTCTCTGATCTCTGCAGGCTGTTGAAGTTGGGGCTATATACGATATACAGTGATACTTCTTTTTCATGTATGAGGAATTATGACAATCACTTTCACTTTGTGAAGATTTTAGAGGCGATCTGGGTTTACCTGCTGCCATCGAACTTTTCCCTAACACATGCACATGAATTTTTCAGTTCCTTTTTCTTGTAAGATTCCTTATAGTAACCAGGTTTGCTATCACAGTGATAATCATGTTCGAGCTTACCAGTCTTGTTAACATGTTTGCCATCTTGTTTGACTTCATTTGCAATCAGAGAAATCCTTTTGGTGGGGGCCATTTCAGTACTTTTAACCCTTCCTGATGATTTTGGTGGCTTAAGAGATGACCAAGATAATGATGAGGGATTGAATTCACTTCCGTCAGAACACTTTCATCAGTAGACATATATTAGTTTGTCTCAAAAAAAAAAGAAAAAAAAAAGACTACAAGCCCATTCAATGAATTGTAAAATATGATTTCAATTCATGATATTGCTCAATGACGCAGAGGGCAGAGTACTAGAAGCAGCATCGCAAGTCACAATAAACTCAAATTCTAGTTAACTATGAAGGAACATGCCTGTTTTGGTGATGGGGTTGTGGAAACCTCTTTAGAAATTTTCTGAAACTGATGGGCAGTTTGCTTTCTGGGATTTGGCAACGATTTCATCTGAATTTTCGGAGCAAATGATGCATCATTCAAAGTAAAACCTCAAGGCCGCACAGAGTTAGTCAACCGTGACAAGAACGTACCTTAGGTTGAGTTGGGCCATCCATTCTTTTGTGTGCTGAGAATTTGGCAAGTTCAAAGACAAACCAAGGTACAGAAACATTAAATATCTTGCATTATATATGCTAATACTAGTGCAGATAACAAACATGAAGGAGTGAATCTTACGATGAATCTTGTGCATTTGTGTGTACTTTGGTACAGGATGGGTATCATGAGGTTGGGGATCTTCAAAAAGTTGAAGCTCAAGGGAGGCTAATGAGGAGGATCCATCACTGTCAGTTGAGAGAGACGACATCCTTAGCTCTTGGATTGCAGAAAGAAGATGCATCTCTGACTTCTTAAATCCTTTGTTCACCAGACACAGCTCTACAGGATTCAATACTCCTGCCACACCAATCATTTCCGTAAGCTTCAAAGCCAAACAAACAATAAGCTATATGCTGTTGATTGAATTTTGCTGAAATTATATATTTGGACAAGGTTTCTATATATTTCAAAATTTAGACATAGAAGGAAGTTTACATAGTTTTAGCCAAATTCAGAAGAAGCTTGTGTATAATTTACTTCTGCGTTTATAAGTGGTTGGTGTAGTTTACATAGTTTTGTCAGCATGCTTATTTTGTTTTGTTAAAACCCCAAAAAGATTTTAGTATTAAATTTGGTGAGAATGTGATTATCTTTTACTAGCCATTAAGACTAATCTTCCTTGGAGTATCGGGATAAAAGACAGACTTCGCCAACTAGATTTTACCCTGCTAACTAATAACTCGTAATGCCAAAGTAAGAAGTTTGAAAATAAGGAAAAAGGTGAAGAGCGAGCATGCCTTCAGAGGTGAGGAAAGCACTGTCCCAAGCTAAACTGGTCCTTGAATTGGACTCATTAGCTTTAGTTTTCATTTCTGCCGATGCCTTCTGATTGTCCCAAGTACAACAATGAAACAACTCCTCTGGTTCTAGAAATCCTGATCAGACAGATGCTCGCATGATTGTCATATAATAATTAACCATTTCAATTTCATTAAATTAGTCTGACTGCAGCAATTATAGTATTACGAGTACCAGGACTTGTGAAAAATGCAGTATCCCATGCCAAACTCCTTCTCAGATCAAACTTGGACTGGCCTTCTGATCCCAAGCCTTTCATCTCTTCATCCTTCACATCCACCTTCTTCCTCTTTTCCCTACAATCTGCGCTCAAATTTGAATTCCATAACACTTCAAATTAAATTCATTTTCAACATGAAACCGGGCCCCGACTAATTAATGCACGTCGTTTTTGCCTTAATTATTTTATTAAGTAGATAGTTTATTTTTAAATGAAAGTTTAAATTTTAATTTAAATCTTTTTCTTGCCATAATATCATTTATTTCAAGAGAAACGAACGTACTGTAAAATATATATTTCAAATTAGCAATTAATCATGATTATCTAAATTGAAGGGGAATGATAAAACGTAGCACTTCCAAATCAAATTTGGAAAATAAAAATTTTACTGAAAGTTATATCTATGGAAGATGTGGATTCAACAAGACACTGTATATAGAAGCATTGCTATGCAACTAATTTATTATATGTTTTGATTCATGGACATGTGGGGTTGTCAGAAAGAAAAGCAGTGTTTGATTGGTCTGTAAGAGAGAGATAGAGAGTGAGAGAAATGAAACAAAGAGTGCGTTGAGAAATCAGTGAAAGCCACATGTAAAAAGTATCGCTGATGATAAATGGGTTGCTATTTCCATCCACCACACAAGCACTTACCAGAACATCCAAATTGGTGAACAGCCATTTCTGGATCCAGAGCCATGGATGGTATAGCTTATTGTGGCGGCAATGAGGGGGAAACAAAATACTGGAGGCACAGTATTTGAAAAACAAGTTATAAATGCACCTAATTAATTACGCAAATAAAGGCCAGTAATAAATTGGTTTCAAACTTCGCTTTGCGGCCACGATTTTGTCCGTTTCGTTTTATTACTCATTTCCAGGAGTAAATTCCTTTCAAAAACTACTTTGATTATATGATAATATATTAATTAATTTTTTTCATATATGAAAAATCCATGAAAAATTATTTTCATTTTTGATGTGATATTTTACAAAAATAATAAAAACATATATTCCTTTTATGCTAAGAAATTTAGTTACTTAGTCTCCTAGCTAACAATCAAATACAAATGAGACCCGAACTCGAAAATGCTACAATAGAGTTTATATCTACAAATGAAATTAAAACGTTATCTCTATAATATTAGAGTAAACCATTTATAAGGGTTTGAATTGCGGTTCGTCAAAAAAATATGTAGATTAGTCCAAATAAAGGTCAAATTGTTAGGCATGCATGATGAATTAAGATGGGGATGGCTTTTATGTACTGATGTTGAAATGACAATGGGCAATTAAAGACTGATTATTTTGTTGGCAAAAAAAAAAAAGAGTGATTATGAAAATAAAGAAAAAGAGGGGTAATATCGGAGAAATTAATGACGGATGATTCCATTGCATTATTTATTGATCGTGATTACTTGGTGAAGTGCGCGTGAGTAAATTCCTTACCTTTGCGTGATACTGCGGCTACACTAGTTAACCAGATTATTAAATTATTATGGATTAATATCATCTTTATTCTGCCAAATCTAACTTCATTTTAGTTTCGATTATTTTTGAAATTTGAAACAAGTGGTTTAGTTTTAGTCGTGAGATCTTGTTTTAGGACCAAAAGTCTTTACTAAAACTATAATAAGACTAAATTTCAGGGTTAAAGATAGTATTAACCCCATTACTTACCCTACTCGGGTGGAGCATGGCTCATGTGGTGTATGTATATATATAGGCAGACCAACGCTTTGTTTGTAAAGATATGCAGCTTACTATGAGATATATTTCTAACAACCTACGTACTAACCAGAACTAAAAAAATGGATAAATGAATCATTAACTTTAGATGAAAATAGAACAGATTTTCATTTTTACTGGTATCTAAATGAACTCTTTTTTAAATTTATATTATTTATTTCGTTATGATTAATAATCATCTTCAATAGTCGTAATACTAGAAAAGCTTAGTTGATGTTTCATGAAGTCACCTATAACAAAAACTATTTAGTTCTTTTAAAAATATCTTATAATAAAAATTGAAAGGAGTACGTAGTTATCCTTTCCATTAAGTCACGTGATTGACATCAATCTCCTACTGTTGTCTGTGTGAATCACTGCTCAAATTATCTAGTCATATTACATGAATAAACATGTGTTCGATAAAGTTATTTCAAATAATTAGTTAATTCTACTATGCATCGAGCTTTGGTGTTTTTTCTGGGCAGAAACTTTTATGGTTTACCTAAGTTCTACCGATGTATAATAATGGATTTGATGATTTCTAAAATATGCAAACGCCCGGCCAAAAATGCTAATAACATATTGCGTATATTGTTTTATTTTAATTGTTAAGTCGAACCTATGAGCTAAATGTATCCACACAAAAATAATTACATCCTGCCTTAAATAAAAGAAACAAATTTTTTTAAAAAATGATGCTAGTTATCATGCTTAAACATGCGTGTGGTAATAAAACCACCATTTTTCAAAACTATCTCTAATTTACACAAGAGCGGCTGATAACGTGTGGCGACTCCTATGGAGATGGCCAGGACCGGAGAAAATTAAAACCTTCCTATGGTTACTAGCTCACAACCGAGTGCACACAACAGAGATGAGAACACATAGAGGGATGCTTGAGGAACCATCATGTCCTTTTAAATGCCGCAACATGGAAGACGCCATGTACATGATTAGGGATTGTACCAATGTTAGAGACCGTTGGAAGTCAATGGTGGATGATTCAATGTGGGAAGACTTTACAAATATGCAAGGAGAGAGTTGGATCTGATGGAATTTAAGAAGGAAGCTAGAAAAGAGCACACAAAGAAACTTCAATGGAAATACTTATTTGGATACATCTGCTGGGATATTTGGGTATCAAGATGCAAGAAACTTTTCAAGCCATCACAGGCCGTCTTACAGACTAATGCCAATGATAGCTTCTTCAGAGCCGGTATGGATAAAGAACTAGCGGAAAGATGCACCTTCTTCAGTAGCGAATAGATGCCTACGGAGATCAGTAACAACAATGGGGATTGTGCTTACTTGGAGGTGGACGGATCAGTACTTCGGGATGGAAGAAGCACGTGTGGAGGGGTCTTGCGAAATCAAGAAGGAAACTAGTTATGTCGTTTTCAATGCAATACTGTTTCAATACCCTTGGCCTTGACGGAAGTTTTTGGGATTTTATATGGTTTAAATGTTTGTTGGTGTAAGAATCTTAGGAAAATAGTTGTCAAGTCTGACTGTATAGAGGCAATCAATCCGATCTTGAAGGGAAGTGATGTCGATCATCCTTTTAAAGATTTGATTGACGAAACTAGATTGTTGCTCCACCAGGACTGGCAGGTTAGTATTGGTTATACTAGCAGATAACTATTAGGTTTAGCTAATTATTTGACCAGAACCTCTCATGGTATGGACGTTGTCTATCCTTCCTGGACCAACTTCCACATGGAACTTTTAGGGCAGATGTTGAGCTAGGAGACTAGTTCTGGTATTTGTAAGTTGACTCTTTAAGAATGATTTCAGTTTTCTACTAAAAAAACTATCTCTTTTTTTGATGAGTCTAAAAAAAAAAAAAAAACTATCTCTAATTTAATATTTGAACTTCTCTTTGCCAAAAAAATTTGATCTTTTATTTTATACTTAATGATCCCTAATTATTAGCCCTAATTTAATGAAGGACGTGATTAAAATAAGACAGATTGTGTGGTAGAGAGGAAGCTGTGGGTGAGCCACTGGCATATAACACTACACGCAAAGGATTTTCACCTCATAAAAGCAAACCTCGTATACATAGATAGCTCATGACTAGCGCTGGCTATAGATTTCCTGCATACACACCACACTATTATACTATTTGTTGTGCATTAGTATTAATATTAATATTATTTTATCAATATTAATACCATGCCCTCCAACATAAACACTTCATTCATTATTATATTAATTCAGTGGCTATATATGCCGCCTACATACATCCGCACCGTTACATCAGTTACCCATTGTTATTTGTTCCACTCCAACTGTACGGCGGAAAGCGGTTGCCATAGCCGCCACCGTGCGATCCGCCATTCCCTCCTCCATACCCGCCGCCCCCGCCACCAGCGCCGCCCGAACCTGATCCTGATCCGTAGCCGGAACCATACCCGGATCCTGAGCCGGAGCTGGAGCCGAAGCCATAGCCGAAGCCTCTGCCGAAACCGGAGGGAGAGCGGCCAGAGCCGGAACCGTAGCCCCAACCACTGCCGGGGGCGGAGCCCCAGCCCCAGGAGTAGTCCCAGTTGGGACCGTGGGCGGAACCAGTGGCCCCCGTGGGGGTTGCGGTACTCTGCGGAACCATTTGGGGCTGGAAAGAACCGATCTTTCTGGAGGGGCCGTCGCCGGCGGAAGCCACGGTGAGAGTGATGAAGAAGAAGAGGAAGAGAGCGAGGGGGTAGAAGTTGGATATCATGTTGGGATGAGATTTAAGAGTGCTGAGTGTTGACCTGATGATGAGGGGTTTTGTGGTGCATGACAGCAGGTTTATATAGTGGCTTTCGTGAACATAATGATGATGATATATGACAAGTAGGCACCCCGAGAATGAAGGCTAGTGCAAGGCTACCACAGATAGATAGATAGATAGAGTGGAGTGAATGTGGAGGATGAGAGTGTTTAATTTGGATATATACAGCACGGCCGATCCTATTTATAAATTTTAATCAACTGTTTTTTCAATTTTCCTACTCATATATGAAACTCTCGCGCACTTTTCCCCCATACATAAGAGAAATGTTAAAAATAAAATATTTATTAACAGGATGGAGTATTAATTTATAAGTGAGTATATATCTGGGGGTAGGGTGAGAACTGAGAAGAGAAGGGGAGTCAAAAGTATAATGGGGAAGAGGAGGATGAGGAATGGTGGTGAACGAACACACGTGTTGGTAAGAAAGAAGGCAAGCCACGCCGGATTTGCACCACCGCCTCTCTCTCCGGCTTCATTCAATTAATTAATAAACAAATGAAATGAAGATGATGATGGAGGGAAGCCACCACGCTTTGTGGCTATAAATATTGTGTTGTTGAAATTAAAGCTAGAAGTCGTGGCGGTGGCCCAATCTGTGCTTCCTTCTCAGTGTCAGTGCATCCCATAGTGTTTGTGACAGTTGGGGTCGGCCTTCATGCGTGTTTCATCCACCCTGCTTAACTTCCCAACTTCCTCCTCTCTGTATTCCCAAACGTGGAAGCTCAATAATATTCTTTACTTTCACATCCACTATGTCTTTTATTAGACCTATGCAGGCTCACCAAACGTGGCTAGATATTTTCTAAAGCCACTTCCAATGTTGTTTACTTCGTTTCGGTTTTGTGTACTTGATTAGCTCCGCTTTTCTTTTCTTTTTTTCCCCCTGTTTACTTGCTCCGCTGCCGCCACACTGGGGAGGGGCATTTCCAAATTCCAACCGACTGATCCGCTGGCTCAAATAATATGTTAATGACAAGATCGTATATCAGTTATTTCCATCATCATTAAAAAAAAAAACGGAATTTAATTATAGTTATGTAATGCTTATACGAAGGATCATCATTCTCATAACAATGTAGCATGAATGACCCCGCAATCAAACTCTTCATTTTTGCCCAGAAGCCTCAATGCATAAACACGTGGCATAACTTTCTCTGAACATGCTCTTTTACACTGAATTCCTCGCATCGGGCACAATGTTAAACAGAATATTTACATGATAATTTCTGATCCACCGAAATCAACATATTAGGCGTAAACATTCTTGAAAAAATTTTGCCGCCACCCCCCCTTCCCCCCGAAGAAAAGACGGTTTAATAGAAAAATATTTTAACACTGACTATAAGACTGAATGTGGTACATGTGCCCTGGCCGGGAAAAAAAAAAGAAAAAGAAGAATGCGTGCCTAAAATCTGGGGCGCACAGGAATGTGGCGTCCCAGTTGGTCACGTGAAAGCAAGGTCAATATTGCGGTAATTGGGCCCTTAAAACCCACTCAAAATAGTTAATCCATTATTTGACTTGTGATTCTTCATTGTGGGCCATTGTACCAATTTGCAGCGTTCCTCACTATCTCGTGGCCCAAACCCATGTGCGCTCCCGCAGGAGATATTTTCCGCCCATTCAATCCATTGTCCCTCATAAAATCATATTGAGGATAAGCAAGCAACAGTCATATAACAATAATAAAAGTGTCACAAAGATAATAGTAATAATTAAATTCCACAAAATTCTGCCCCTCAACACCAAAAAGAGACAAGTCAATGATTCATTGAATATGAAGATTTCAAATTTTATGTGCAAACTTATTAGCCACTGATACTCTGATGTTATTCAATTTTAAATTTTCAAACGGTTTTACCTTTTCATTCATTCATTTGTTTTCAAAATGCCGTGCTTAGAAGCACTATTCCAAAGCGGAATCCTAAAAAATTTCGCTGGGGGCCTAAACAGCGTCAAGGATTCTTGCATGTATGAGCTGGTATGTTGGAAGTTTGTGTTCGTTATTGGGAGAAAGCGTGACGCGAGGCGAGTCCAGGCAGCAGCCGCCACTATACACGAGCCCCGCTTTCAACGAAGCCAATGACGAAGGTGCTGGCCCAGAAGAATACACTGTTCCTGTTATTAAAAGCAATAATCTCGTTTTAATCTCTTGTTCCTTTTCCCCCACTGCTAATATATCAACTGAAGCCGTTAGCAAGTCCAAGAAGACGATCTTTTAAGAACTGGCTTCATCTGCTTGTCTTCTTCCAGGGAAACCATGCCCAAGTGGGAGGGGTCCTCCAACATCATCTTGGCCACCAGATAACCTGCTATGGACCACGTTTGGTATTTTCTTGCCTGCTTCCCAATATATCTCCCCAGTTTCCCATCATAATACTCTGGCCACCCATCCTTCAGTAACCGATTCTCTGCCAGCTCTATTGCGCGTCTCGCTATTTGTGGCCTCCCCGTTTTGATGCAAGCAGCCGTCAGCACCCACAATAGCACTGCATTCAAACCACACCCATCAAAACCTTGTGCTTCTACCATGTGTTTAACTATTTAAGAAATCCACTTTCGTTATCTTTATAACTTCGTAGCATAACGCCTAATGGTTAGATCCTTTAGCATTTGCTCTATGTCATTTACTCGGTCAATTAGTAATTCCCAAAGCATTTGGGTTTAGTAAAACATCCGATAAAACATGAGTTACTAAGAGCTGGTGGCCAAAAGTTATAAAAACTGGAGGGGAAAAAAAATAATTGACCACAGTCGTTAAATGCATTTTGCATAACTAAACATGAGAAGAGAAGGGAAGCACCTGGCCAAGATCCTCCGTTATGATAACTCCATCTGGTATTTTTGGGATCACAACCAGTCACAATTCGCCACTCATGGCTCTCTATTGCAGGATAGCATACTTTTAGGGGCATTTCCCCAACCAATTCATCCCATTTTGCTTCAATAAGATCCATTATGGCCATTGATTGCTCTGGTGTTGCAAGAGAAGACAGAATCGCAATACAATTTCCTAAAGTAAACCATCGGAAATCCATCCTAGCAGGACTGACATTGCCAATAAAGTAGCCACCACGTGTTGGCATAAAATCAAACACCCAGTCTGGGATTGAATCAGGAATAACGTTAAACTTATTTACTGCAGTATGTGAGTACTCCTCGGTCTTATACCGGTAAATGTCATTTAGTTGTTGGAAATCTAGCCAAAAGTAACCACGCATGTGAAAACTTAGTGCATGCAGACGCTTCACTACACGCTCGATGCATTCTTTCCCCTCTGCATCTTGTTTCAACATTGCCAAAGCACATCTCAATGCCATGAAGAAAAGCGCTTGAATCTCTATAGGGTAGCCATAAATACCCTGGAAAAAACAAAGAAAGAAAGAAGAAACTAATAGAGGTTGCAACAAGAGAAAGCTTATCTAGAAACAACTGAAAACTACTTAGTATGTATGTCATCAGATATGAAATACGAGAGAGTTGCAACAAAAACTGCATCTTGCATCACCTTGCACTCTAAAATGCTCGACCTGGTTAAGAAAATTACGCAGCTACAAGAGTTTACAAGAAATATGTTTCTCAGATGACACATAATCACGGCTATAATTAAATATGCAACGATGAGCACAGATCATGCATCCACCCCTTCTGATGCAAGTGGATGAAAACACAGATTATAACTCATCAGATGTATTGATTTAAGAAGGAAAATTGTGAAGTAGTGGCTGTAAGATTATTAAGCTCCTCACTGTCCTCAACAGAGCACAGAAGCTCCAATGACCCAAATTTAATTTCCTGAAGCCATTCTGATTGAAGCTAATGTTGTTTGAAGAACATGAAATTCCTTGCGATGTTTCTCAAGCATGCTTATCTTCACATCTGTCTGCTTCTCATCTGACACATTCATCTATTCAAGTGCATGCTTAAAGGAAAAACTAACACCAAAACCAAATTCAGATGAACAGTAGCAAACACGAACAAATAGTTATCCAAGTGAGAAAAGCTGATCAATTTATAAGTCAAGTCAAATTAATGTCGATAAAATTCCAAATACAAAGTGGAAAGAGTTAGGAATATAGCATCTGTCAAGGCAATAAGCAATATCAATATTATTGACATATCAAACTGATTAGGCAGTTTGACTTACCATTCTTCGGTCAATCATACAGCATCCATCCGCACAAAGCAGAGTAGGGAATGTATCAAACCCCTCTGATAAACACAGAGTCAATATAAGTCTCATTCCCTTTTGACACTCTGGTGTTTCAGCCAGGGTTAGATCCCCAGTAGACTTTGTGTATGCACGAAGCAAAATGATCCACCAAAATCCAGAGTCAACGGGAGCAACTCTTCCAATTGCACTTTCACCAAAATCTGCTACAATAGTATCTGTTTTCCTAATAGGATCATGAAGAACTTTGAAACTAGCTGGCATGGCACCTTCACCCAGCTTAAACCGATCTACTTTTTTTTCCCAGCCTTGAAGATGCAGTGTCTTCAGTAAGAAGTTCTTAACTATATCTGGTTCACCATTCATCAAAAAGGCCAGAGCACTAGGCACAAAATCTCGAACAAAAACCTACAAAGTAAAAGGTGATCAATAAAGGCACATTTCATTTAATACATTTCTTCGCGAACTATCTGTTAATTGTCTTGCATTAGTACATCAATATTAAAAGATTTAGTCCTTGACACTCTGAGTTGTGTACTTAACAAGACTCACAAAAAAAGCCAAGAGCTTCATGCCTTAGTCAACAATTTCTCATGGGACGCAATATATTATGTACATCGACAAAGAAATGTAGGTCCGATCCAAGGCATTGGCATCTCGCCTGATGATCCTGGGACTGGGACTGGCTTCCCTACTGCCATTTATCGTACCAGGGGGAAATACACACACACACACGCGCACACACAGATGCAGAGCGTTTCACTAGCAACATTTAAGTCCATGTGGTAAATCAATATCTATATTCTGGTAATTACAGCTTCAAAATGCAGCAAGTGCAGAAAACTGTTCGCAGTAAAACCTTTCTCAATAATTAACTATAGTTATGCTTGTGCTTTGTTTTTCCGGATTGTTTGAGTCTGGACTGTTTCTCGATTTCTTTCTTTGCTTGGCTGGAGTTTGTCATGCAAAAATAATCCAAAATTGCTATTTCCAAAAGCAGCACATGCCAAGGTTATATGTCAAACTACTAATTTTTGAAACACTTTTAATTGTGATTGATGGTTTTCAGTCAATTTTGAACAAAAAATGCATGCCAAATACATAGTGAAGCCTCCATTTTTTGTATATTATCTCATAAAAGACAAATTTATTTTATTAAGAGGAACCTAAGATTGTTACACATCAACTAAGCAGTTATCCATAGCATGTTTTATATCGTAAACTATTGTGGGTGCCATGTTTTGCTTAGAGTTTGAAAAGCCGCGCTATTCATGCATGGCTCATGAAAAATGTAGCCGGTTAGAGTTTCCATATTGCGTAGAGATAATGCAATAATTTATGCTGTTATATTTCAATTATGTTCAAATTCATCATGTCTCACATTGTAAATTATGCAGTAACTTAAGTTCTTATATCTCAACTCATATGTCTCCCATTGTAAATGACTCGGTAACCCTCAATATTATATGATGTTCCAGGTTCAAATTTTCTTCAATTACTTCTCAATAATCCAATTTTTTTTGGATTCCAAGTCAAAAGACGTTGTCTAGCAAGCATATGCCAGTGCCTCAATTTCATAACTCAATCAGTTTAACATAGTTCATATGTTTTAAAATGTCAACTGGTCACCCAAAAAATAGAGTGAGATCTTTCGTCATGAAATGAATTGTTCACCTGATCATAGTTTAGAACTTCCTCAGATTGATGATCAACAGCTGCGATTGTGCCAACTGGTTGGCCTCTAAAATATACTAGGGATTTTCTAAGGGATTCCCATGCATCAGCAACTATAGGGTGAGGCTCAAATGAGTTCCGAGTTGATGAAACTGGAGTGTCAAGACCAGATCTATTTCCAGGTGAATATGTCTCAAAATTGTCCGCTCCTCCTCTTGCAAAACCAATTGACAGTTCACTCAGTGACCTCTCATCAAATGATCTTTGTCTCTCTATGTTCAACCTTGGCTTCCCAATGAGACGTGAGATGTCATAATCATCCATATCAGAGATAGAGCAGTTCGAGTTGACAAACTGAAATTCCCCAGGCCCATCCATTTTTGTCCACTTCTGCAATACTGAAATGATAATAAGAGAAAATAGGGGGCTACATCCAGAAAACTATCTATGATGGCTAAATACTATTCTCAATACTTAAGGGAAATTAAGTAAAAGAGGGAAGAAAAATAAAAGCTTGATAAATTTTAAGCAAAAAAGGACTGCACTACCAGACGTACCGGGAATAACACCCTGAAATAATACATACAAAATTACTTTTATCAGCGTGGAAGAAGAAAAAAGGCAATGCGAAAGTAAGAGTTTCATCGTCTGGTAATTATACTATCAGTTACAGATAAATATAGCAGTATGAATATTAGTTAAAAATACTGCATTGTGAGACCAGCGAGAATTTCACTCATGGACTTACTGAAACGAGCAACAAATCAGGATCCAACAAGAACGTCAAAAAGCACCATCATCACATGACTAAGACAATATTAGACGAGGAAACACGCATAACAGAGTCAAAATGCGAGGTCAGAAACGAAACTAGTTCAATTCACCAATACATCCAAAAAGGAATAGATCTGAAGCATTGTTGAGAAGAAATGTAAGAGAAGGAAAAGAGTCAGAAAGACGCTCACAGGTATAAAGAGAAGGAACGAACCTCAAGAAGAGACGCAGGAGGGATGATTGTCGGACGGAGGACACGGGGGGCGGCCGCTAAATTCCGCGGCGAATGGTGGTGGGGAAGAGGTAGATGAAGAAGAGGGAAGGAAAGGAAAAAAGAAGCATGTAGTATAAATGAGAACGAGAATGGGAGAGGAAGAGTGTGGCGAGAGAGGAAGAGCAGCGGAAGGGAACTCTGCTTTCTGTGATTGATTTGTTTCTGTTTTGCCTCTTCTTTCTAATGCAAACTAACGCCCGTGTAGCAGCTTGCAACCTGGCCGAGGGATCACCGGAACGGTCGATCATAGCAATTAGCACGTGCCGTTTGTATTTTTAATGCAGAATTACATGCAACCACCAAATTCTCACATTTTCATTTCTAAGGACTACTGCCCTCTCATAAATTTGTGCCGATTAGTTGTTAATGTTAAATATCTTGTTTAGTTATGAATTTACGTCATGCGCCTAATAAACACTCCTCCAGTCCTTAAGGTAAAACTTAATCAGATAATTTAAGCATATTATGAATGTCAGTTAAATCAATTGATATAATATGTCCTTTTTTAAATACCCCAAGTATTTTTCTTCATTCCCTTTATCTCTCTCCTATTTGATTATTATGAGGGAATATCAATAAAAAAATTTGGAAAAAATTGATACAAATATGAAATAGGTCTTACATATAGTACCAACATCAACTCTCTAATTAATCCCTACATTAAGGACCACAGGAGTATTTTAAATAATAAATTTACATTATGTGAATGATAATGTACGTGTTTTACTATATTAACTAGGAATTTATGAATTTGGCTATTTATTACTCCTGCGGTCCTAAATATAAGACACTTATACTAGTGTATAAGTGTCTTATATTTAGGACCGAAGGAGTAGTATAATTCTCCATATTTTAAATCTCATTTCATTCATCCTTGTCCATATATTTTTCCTTTTTTCTTCAATCAATACTCCGTATATAAATTTTGTTCCAAATAATGAGACAAAATAAATTTTAATTAATTTAGGCAACTTGAGAAATTTTTTTCATAAAAAAAGGATGCAATAAATATTATTCATTTCTCTAAAAAAATATAAAATAAAGCATGCTGAAATAATGAAAACAGGAACAGCTTTGGTTTGAATGCTTCTTCCTCCTTGAGGGAATTCAAGTCTCAAGATTAAGAGTTCGTCACAAATTCTCTCCTTTACATTTGAGGGTTGCACCAGAGTGATGTCGTGTTAACATTCATTTTTGAATTTAATCAAGTTTCCACTAAGCTTGAATTGAATTTTAATATTTTCTATGAGAAATTTTGAAACTTTAAATGCTCATAGACTTTTTTTTTGGGTAATAAATGCTCATTGACTTATAATAACTTGGATGCTTATCCGCTTGTGGCTGCTCATTTTGGACCTATATATTTTCCCAAGCCCGGTTCTTACATTTCAACAAGCCAAATGGGTCACGGCTCTGGTTAATATAATTTTGCTCAACTACTTGATTCTCATAAATGATTTACTTTCAATCAATTCGACGCAGCTGGTGGTAGGAATTAGAACTTAGAACTCCACCATGTGTACCGTGAACTTTTCTTTTTCTTTTTTTAAATAAAAAAAGACTATAACATTTGGATTTAGTATTCCTTTAATCTTATTTTAATATTTTTTACAAGTCATTTTAACTTGCTTGGCATCTACCCGCATCCTTTTCTTTCGAAAATAATAAAGTAAAATGTGTACTTCATGCGTTTCTTTAAAATTGCACCGGATCCAAAGTCCAAAGACCACGTAGCTAGAATACTTTCTCAGCTACCTAGAAAGTTAGCTTTTTATATATAAATTAATGATTGATTTATATTGATATTTTAATTAAATTAAAAAGAGAAGACGCTAAAAAACTGATATATTTTTAGAAAGGACCAAAAGTTGTTAGTTTGTGTCAATTGGATTCAACGAATTGACTTGCTTGAACACGGCGAGGACGACGTTTTCGTTTAAATTTTGGCTTTCTAGCTTAGATATGAAGGCCAGTAGAACTTAATTGGCATAAAAGGTCGCATTGATTTATTAATGGGCTATTATTTAGTCGCGCCCAGCTAAACTTAATTTGAATGAATGTTTGCCAAATTTTTTCCTCAAAAAACAGAGGGATTAATTATTCACACTTAAAATTAATTAACTACTAGTATAATACGAATAAAACATAGATTATGACAAATTGATCGATAATTGACTTTTCCCATTGCTGAATGTGTATGTAATCAGTATTTGGTAATTCAATTGTTTTATGGTGATGATGACTCGATTAATCGAGTATTTTTGTAATTAGTGACCAAGTCATTCTTATGTTAGCAAACAAAGGAAAGGGGGAAGACATATGATTTTAGCAGAATTGTATGCGATTTTCGTTAGAGATGTATGGGGTGTCTCAAGAGTTAATTATAGAATTTATGGAAAAAAAATTAATCATAGAATAATTAATATAATACAATCTTTGTATATAAAATAAAAGATTGCATATGTTAAGAATCGAACCCTTAATTTCAGTCGACCACTTGGTTGTTTTGATGATTACAAAAAGATCTCAAAATTCATTTCAAAGAGATAATTTGGTAGTTGATTATGGCTAATCATATAATATTTGTTTGGTTGTAGTATTAAAGAAATCCGAAATTAGCGAGGTATACTATGAAAACCATGTGATCATACTATGAAATCATGTATTATGTTGGAATTCACAATGAATAAACTCTTTATCTGATAAGTCAACCAAACTAAAAGCCGATGCAACCAGTGGATTTTTTCCCTCACTATACACACGCACGCACGCACGCACGCATACCCCAAATCCTTTGTGTATCTATCAAAAGTAGTCTAATATTATTGAATAGTTTATGACCTTCACGCTGTAGAGAACTCAAACTCTTATATATCGAAGTGCTTATTAATTACTTCCACTTTATATATGTTTTACAAGAAACTTTATTACTTTTCTAGTAAACATTCTACTGGTTTAAGATATGATAGTTGCACTCGTTCCTTGTGTACTACCTTTGGCCAAAAAGAAACTCTTGTTCTGTCAGTTAATTATTTTTGAAGCAGCAAACCAAGCTGCTTGACCATATAAACTACTCCTTGCTTGTTTATTTCAATAAAAAAACTGGTTTTGGAAGAGAAAATACGTTCATCTGAATCTATGTGACAATAACCCACTTGCCAGAAAAAGCAATCATCATTAGCTTCTCATACGTTCACGACTACGATAAACTAATTAAAAGTTAAAAGCGACTCTTTCCTCCTCCATGCAGCCGGTGGATTCGAATATAGGATTATATTTGAAAGATAATATATATGGAGAACTACTTTATGTCAATTTGGTTATAATATTCTTTCTGGGCACATCATTGTCGAGCTTGTTTGGGAGCTGGGGATTATCTGAAGAGGTAACTAGATTCAGTGATCAGAGATGACGTCGTTTTGCGGGACAAGCCATGCACGTTGTGGTTTGATGAGAAGGGTGAGGGTTCTTATGGTTGGGTATGGAAGGTGTTTTGTTTTTGCATGCATGCAGATTCAGATGTGCACAGAGACACCATGTGCGAGTGCAAGTAAATCACAAGATCCAGCTTCGCTATAATATATCCTCAGAGTCTCAGACAACCTTCATTAATAATGCCCACACTAAATCACTCATTGCCCTATATTGCTAGCCTCTAGGCCCTCCCCCACCTCTCTCTCTCTGCTGTGCATGCATGTATCCTTTTGGAACGCAGGACTACATATGTTGTTGCAGTGTATGGTGCTGAAAAGTCCACTTTCACGGCAAGCTTTTCCGGAAGCTACATATTTCTGTCTAGTACGAACTGTAGAAGTTTTAATTATGATTAACTGATAGGATTAGCTGAACTGAAAAGGGGTAACGTTTCTCTCCACCATTGCCCGTATGGTGTGCCTGTTCGAAATCACTGTTGAATTTAATTAAATTTCGAATTGATGCCTAAAATTACTGTGAAATTAAAGTTATTTAAGAAGGGGATTAACCTATCTAAGAATATTCTGATCATCAAATTCGAAATACTGCAATCAAATCCTTTCGTTTTTTTAATTCTTCCCTTAACAAAAAGTGATATTTGTTTCAGTTGATTAATTAACCACCCTTTTGTAGATGCAATTTGGGCTGCATGAATCCAGTTCACTGCATGTTAATTGGTTAATCTCAGAGCTAATTTAGTAACATGATCTTTCTCCAGTCCCTTTCCTTCTTTCATAATATTGAGTGAAATTAATTTAGAGTGATATCAATGTCGTTTTTAGAATAATATCAGATTGGGAATGGTGACCCAACAAATTATATATTTTAGTCTGATTCAGAATTCTCTAAAGCTGCCCAATAGGAAACCAGTCAAAAGATTGATTAAAAAAAATTGGTCAAAACTGGTAAAAACGGGTTAAACTTCTGTTATCATAAAATCTAAGTCACAAAAGGGCTTAACTGCAGTCGAATGGCAAGACTAGCTTTGTTTCAATTAATTAAAACTAAAGGAGCTAGCTAGGGAGATCAGAAGTTTGTTTCAAGCCTCTTTAAAACATTTCGGTAAATATCAAATGCGACAGAAGTGGGAGTGTATGTACACTAAACTACATATTGCACTTTAATTGATGAACTAAATTTATCTGTTGTCTACCGGTCAAAGTGGCTTAGAAAGTCTTTGGTTAAGAATTTTTATCTACTGCCCCCCTACATACCTTATCTTGAATTTGCGGATATAAAGAAAAAACAAATCATAAAATGGCACACTTTTCAAGCCCCATATATCCATTTCGAGATGATATAATGCAGCATATCGTTCGCATCCTGGTGCACTAGGTAATATCTGTGTGGTTTCTCCCAGCAGATGATGTCAAAGAAAGAAGAGGTCAAAGGGACTCCAAAAGGTCACTTTGTGGTGTATGTGGGGATGGAAATGGAAAGATTTGTGGTTCCTATGACATACCTGAAGAATCCTATGTTCCAGAAATTGCTAGACAAAGCTGCTGATGAATATGGCTTTAATAAC